CTGAGCCTGCTCCATGAAAAACGATGATGTCTGAGACAATCGGCTGATCCTAATTTATGTGAAATTTTAATGTGTAATTGGTTAGATCCAACTATGTGATTGAATACTGTGGGAACATTAAAGGTACTTTTTGTTTTCCATTGATAAACTATAAAACATCAAGTTCACACGAATAACTTGGGATATTGTTTTAATAAACTTAATATATTAATGTAGTCATTTTGTATTACATCCAAACATTCAAACAGAGACTGATCACTTAAAGTCATGAATGTGAATAATACCTTCATACCCATTCATTTACGTTTTTAACAACTAAAGCTCAGTAGTTCAAGGAATAATATGTGATTGTAAAAAGTCAGAGACATAAGAGTCTCAGTGTAGGTGTTATATCTGAAGCGTTTCGAATTCACTAGTTAACGAACGGAACAAAGACTTGTGACCAGAGATCGATAACCCAGCTATTCTGATGCGTTCCAGACCCAGCTAACTAGAGTAAGAAGTCGAAGTTGTAAGCGGGGCAAATATATTCCGTAGCAACCAGAGGGACAGCAGTCGTAAGGGGGAAAAATCAAACGTATATATATATACAGCAAAAAATTGTCCTTGGGCAGCATTACGAAATAGCACACTCAAAGATACAACGGACCAATAGAATTGAAGATATTTTACAAGTGGGAAATTTGACTCGAAGGTGAGAAGAACGCTTCTGGCGCGAAAACAAAGAAATTCAAATTTTCAAAATAAAATTACAAAATTAGGCTATTTACCAAGTTAGTTCTAGGGATTTAACATCCCCAACAGTAGGATACAGAACTATCTGGTCGATTATTCTTAAAGATGAATACATATGCTTGTTGGATTCTGTTACCAGAAACCTACCAAATATACCATCTATTCACATAGTTGGTGACTTTATATCAGAGTTTAATAGTGACCAGTTTTAGTTTCCAGTTAGTATCTATCACAGACTAAGCTCAAATTAGGTACTATTGGATGAAGATAGTACTGAACAAGTGGGGACAATCTCTTGGTAAAATCGGAGAACTATACAGTAAATATCGCATTATGCAAACTGTCAATCAATCGTCTCAGACTTGGTTGTTTTTTCGTTTCCACACCAATCACTCTCTGTTTCTTTTCTCTTTGTGCTTTTTAACGTTCTGCCTCCAGACATTTCATTTTTGATTGATGATATATACTACGTATATCTGTCAACATCAGTAACACATACCACAATCATAGATTAGGCCCGATTGAGGTATCACTGAATAAACGTTTTATCTCAATATGTGAAGCTTTGAAAGTTATCTTCTTGTACATTAATGAATCAGTTACGGTATTTACATGTTATCCTGACTGTGAGATTTTATATAAATTATTGGCTATTGCTACATGCACTACTTACTTACTTACTTACTTACGCCTGTTACTCCCAATGGAGCATAGGCCTCGGACCAGCATTCTGCAACCCACTCTGTCCTGATCCTTCTTTTCTAGTTCTATCCAACTTTTGTTCATTCTTCTCATGTCTGTTTCCAATTCTCAGTGTAATGTGTTCTTTGGTCTTCCTCTTCGCATTTGGCCTTCAGGATTCCATAAGAGAGATTGCCTTGTGATGCAGTTGGGTGATTCCCTCAATGTGTATCCTATCCACTTCGAGCTCTTCTTGCTGATTTCTTCCCCCGCTGGATGGAATCTGGTTTGCTGTCTCCCACAGTAACTTGTTGTTGATAGTGTCTGACCATCGGATCCGAAGTATCTTGCGTAGACAACTGTTAATAAACACTTATATTTTCTGGATGATGACCTTCGTAGTTCTCAACGTCTCCGCTTCATACAGTAGAACTGCCTTGACATTTGTATTGGAAATTCCGATCTTGGTGTTGGTTGACAATCGTTTTGAGTTCGAGATGTTCTTCAGTTGTGAATATGCTGCTCTTGCTTTGCCGATCCGCGTTTTCATATCTGCATCAGATCCACTGTGTTCATCAATGATGCTTCATACATTACTGTTAATCAATTACAAAGTTATCATTCATATTTGTACTGTGTATATCATGGTTATGTATGTAATAAATAAACTATATAACCATTGAAATTCCGGAATTAGTAGTTGTCTATTTCATTCTAATATGTGAGTACTTAGCATTGTGTATCGACGATCACAGCACATTTAATCGAACCCAGGATCTTCAGGTCTCATGGCTAGACTTTAACTTTCAGACTGTTAAACAAGTACCTAATGGTTTAAATATCTGAATTTAATCAATTCGCCGTATCAACCATCCACTTTCGATTGTCTTCAGTGGGTAACTACCTCATACCCGACTCGACTATATTTCATTAGTCACTAGTGAGCACATGTTCAGTACCATCTGGTTTTCAATGTTCATCTAACTTAGTTTGGTTTGTGGTCTCAATAACACTTAACAATCTCTACAAATCTCAGTACTGATAATTATTATGTACTAACTAGTGAGGGGAAATTACCTCAGTTGTAGTAAGCAGTAATGACCATCGGAGTTCAACCATTTAGGGTTTGAGACAGTTATCCACAGCAGGCAATGGAAGATGGCTACACAATATCGCTAGCTAATTGAATTTTGTTATATAAACTATCGGGTCTTTGATCAGAGGTTCAAAAATTAGACGTTCGCACACAAGACCTCAGGTTTTGTGTTCAACCCCTTATATAGACTTGGAAATGAGAACTGTTGATGTGTTTTATTTTAGAACAAAACAGTTGTAAAATGATTATTGGTTCTCAACGGCAATTTAATTAAGACCACTTTGTGATATTACTACTACTTTTTCTGCATCTAGTTCCTGATACAATTAATTTCCCAAGTAGAATAATATGAGAAATAAGAAACGTGGGAATTTGGTAATGATTCTTTAATTAATTACCATCAAACCGTCATTCCATGTGGTCCTGATCGTAAGATTATGATCTTTGATGGTTGGGAATATAATTTATGAGGGACCTCCGAGCGACGTCAGAGTGACTTTGAGACAGTTTGACGACGTACCAGTGTCAAGAGAGAGTCCCAAGTTATTATGATAAATTAGGAGTAGGATTTAGAGTTACAATTTACGATTATGTATTTAACTAAAGATTCCCATCACGAACTTACATCAGCTATGATAGCGAGTTGGTATTCAAATAAGTGGTTGAATGAATTTTGCGCACAAATCCAACACTAGCTGCCCTTAATTTTATTGGTTCATCCACAAATTATAGCCTCGTCAGTATATTTTGTGTACTAATAGAGGTAAGGCTTTGTGTAAGGATGGCTCGTTGGCCAACTCTAGGAAGCCTCAGGAAGTCTAGAAAAAGCCGAAGACATTCCATCCAATCACCGCTAGGGGAATATTCTAGAATTTCGACATGTAGCTTCCCTATTGGATGGATAAGAATGACCCCCTATGTGCCTATTTGCTGTCCAAAGTGAGGATTTACTTTCAGCCAAAAAACTATAATACATGAGATTTCTGTACTATATTTTGACACTGTTTGGGAATAAAATTCCTACCTACTAGTCTTCTCTCGTGCGACGTTGCGGGTTCGATCGTTCAAGTAGTCTAGTAGTACGCGGCATAGTAAGAATCAAAGCTCTAGATATAACACTTTGAATACACTAAAAAGAGTTACTTTTATAGTTACAAAATGGATGGTTACTATGACTTCTTCATTTTGTTCATTAGAATCTCATTAGCGTAAATCCTAAATGAGTTTATTTTAGCTTCTGAACAGACGAGTTATTTTGATTTTATTGATTGTTTTGTTCAGTTAACCTTCTAAACCAGTCACTATCTGCGTACTCTTGTAATGTGTGTGACTTTTTTAAATTTGTAAGTTTACTTATTTGTATTTTTGTACATTACTTCTGTAAGTTGAGTCTTGATTAATGTTCCCTAAATTCTAAATATAGGGTTCTGGAGATTATTGAGTTTCATTTAAATTACGAACCGATTGTAGTTAGACCGCCGTTGAAAACCTGAAAGTCATTGACGGTCGTTTGGTTCTAGTATGTGACACCTCAGTGATGCACATCCACGACGCCGCTCGTACGAATTAAACCTAGGACTTTCAGTATGCAGGTTGATATGCTACTAGATCCAGTGGTTTATCCAGATACTCACCGTTTGTCTGCTGTCCGTTGAATATAAACACGTACTTTAAACAATACTAGTATTTGAACTTTCATTTCCTGTTCTTATTAACTAGAATAGTCAAAAGTATGCATAAATTAAATAGGACCCATAATTCATTTATCATCATCAACACGATTAAAACACGCTGTTATAAAATGACAAGCCTGACGCGGTGAATCTCGTACATGCAGGGTATCGTTACTTAATAATTGGTACGAAATTGTTTGTACATAAATAACAAAGTTGATTGTCCATTACATACAGTTAACCAACTGGTCAGTAATTCTTTCTTTTAATATTTAATCCTTAATAACGTTTAGAACGTATCAAGTGTTTAACGTGATTGTAAAATAAAAGAGGACCACAGCGTACATCACGGACCGACAAAAGCTTAAGAACCAGGAACCACTGGATAGCTTTTCCGTCTTACTATAGACCTTCACTTTCAAATCACTAAAAAGATATCCATTGGTTTATATTTATAACTATAGTCAAGTTGTGGTATCTCATGTCTGTCATCTAATACTAATGGTGAGTGAGTGCTTCAAATCTCACATGGTTGAAGTCCATTGGACAGAAGCGGAAAAGAGCAAGGCCAAAGAACATAATAAGCCGCGAAATAGAAGCAGATATGAAAAGGATTAATAACAACTGGAAAGAACTGGAAAGGATTGTTCAGGATAGGGTTGGATGTAGAATGCTGGTGTGTGGCCTATGCTCGTCCACGAGGGGTAACAGGCGTAAGTAAGTAAGCTTTGATGAAACCTAGTTTGTGACAAGATTGAATTTTAATTAAGATCATGAATCAATCTATGTTAGACCATCATTGAAAGCCTGGAAGTACTGGACAGCCGTTTCGTCCTAGTATTGCACACCCTAGACTGAATTTAGCGGTCTCTAATCTAAGATTCAAACTTATTTATGAATATACATTTTATCTAAATATATCTTACTACTTAATTATAATCAGTAGATTCTTGTGTAACATCGGAATTTTAACCCACTGAGACCCCATGACAAGGCTTCTCTTTCTAACTCCCATATATACATTAAGCATTCATCGGTTACATTTTATATTTTAAAGTATTGTTAATGAAATACTCATGAAGCAGGATGATTGTTAAAGGATAAAATAAATAACTTTTAATGAATTCAATTAACAAACAGAAAGCATTTCTTTAAACATTGAACTTTGTTATATTGAATTGGGTTTCTTTTTTTGTTTGTTTGACAAAATATTCCTCTATCTGATTCTTCTTTATTGCCATTCAGCATCAAGCAAGGCTAATAGAAGTCGTTGATAATCACCAGATGTTTCATTACGTATCCAATCTTCAAGTGAACTATCTTGACTTTTTTGAAATTCTATACAAATACTTCCTAAATCAAACTAAAAAGAGGCAAAATGATGGATAAAGAAAAGAGATATACTAGAAGAAGAAATGATTAAAACAAAATGTAAAATAAAACTCAAGGCTATTTGGTTGAGGACGTCAGATCCCCAGAACTCACTTGGGAAAAGTCCTAATTTTTTTTTTGGAAAATTTGAATTTCACGTTTTCGCGCCAAGAAACACTTAGTTGACCTAAAGCTTACATTTCCCACCCACTCTAAAATTCTTGACTGTCATTGGTTGATGGATTCTTTTGTTATGCCATTAAGTGATTTTCCTAAGGGTCTTTCTATCATTGTATAAATAAGCTTGATTTGTGTACTTACTGACCCATTGTATTTTCTGGATGCTTGTAGAATCTATTCTCTGCGCCTCCTTATGACTTTTTAATCTAGTTATCAGAGCCAGTGTTAACGGATTAGTATTAGCCTGTCGTGTCGCTGTGTCATTGACATTCATTCCGTTTACCGAGTATGGTGAACTCATAATAGCATCAAGCATATCAGTTTGACCAATCAGTGTTAAGTTAAATAAACTCAAGGTTGATCAATAAAGGGGTCAACACTCAAGGCTAATTGGTCATATGCAACTATGTGACCTTAAAACTTTAATTCTATTCGCTAAATAATAACAAGTACGTTTAATCAATCAATGTCAAGTCAAATAAATTCAAGGTCAACTTTAAAAGAAAAAGTGTTTAGTCATCTGTATGAATCAGTTAGTTTTGATGTACATACTTATACCTTTACTTGTTCATTAATAGTAAATTACATTGCATTAAGCTAGTAATAGTTGTATCATATACATTACATTAACGTCTAAATTAGTTATAACACTTGAGTTATGTAATTCAACTTGACTATTGAAATATTGAGACCTTCTGTTATCTCAGAACCTTGTAAGAAATTAAAACAGAGTACACAACAACCACAGCAACAACTGAATGGTTAGGTATTGGAGGTTAATTAGATTCTTCTCGTTCTGGAAGTGTATACATTGTAACAGAAGTTAGCTTTTGTTAAGTGTAACATATACTATATCGTTTTCCCTATATATGAGAATATTATTTGCAAAGAATCAGTAACGTCAAGAAATAACTTGGCCAAAAGTCAGTGGAATAAAACGATCAACTTGTAGATATAAACAGCTAAGGATCAGATGAAATCTACAAGGATAACCTATCATAATCAAGGTCACGAAGGCAAACTGATTTAAAACTCGTGAAATAAATAAAAACAAGCTCCTTCATTGAACTCAACCATAACAGGACATCTAAATAGGCGGTACATGTTCTCTATCAAATCAAAATAGGCTGATTATTTGTCTTAGGAGGTACCGTTTCTTTTATTCTAATTGTTTCTTTTAAGGGTGTTTATTAGCCATTGTTATGTGGGGACGGCTCCCGGAGAATTCAAGGAAGAATATTTTAGAAACTCAACGTGTAGTTTCCCGATAAGACGAATGTAAAAAAATAATATGTGTGGATTGGACGATTGTAATAATGATTTCGTTTCTACTAAAAACTATAAATACCTCAGTGTTTTGTATCATATATGACACTGGTTGGAATAAGATTCCTTTCCACTTGTCTTCTCGCTTCTAACTCGCGACTTATAAGATTCAAGCGTTCGAGTGCTGAAGATATACGTGGTATAGCAAGAATACAAGTTCTAGATATAACATTGTTGTTGTATATATACACGAATGAGTATTTGTGCATTTTATTCGATAACCCAATATACTTTCCCGCTCACTCTTGTGTTCTCGATCAAATAGTCAGTTGAGGAGTTAGCGCAGAGCACATAGTCTATCAGTATCAAATTCGAACACCGTGCATTACAACAGATATAAGATAATATTTAATGCATTAACCTCTAATACTTACCTCACATCTTGTCACAATAATACGCATTAGGGTACAATCATCGGTACCGGCACCTTTCATTGCTTTCACCAATAAATCGGAATAAGCTTTTGGACGATTTAAACAAGTATTTACTATATTCAAGAGAAATATTGAAGAAGTAAATGAACCAGTGACATGGATAGTAATAAAAGAATGACTGTAATTCATTTTCTGAAATATTATTCGATTCCTTCTGAATAGCAGTTGGAAGCTAATTAGCTTGAAAAGAATAATGAATGATTTTTATTGTATATAAGATACACTCGTTCAATACAACACACCCAACCAACGAATAATCTATCATGTATCAATTACAGAATATCTTGGTGAAATATGAGAATTATACACTAAATACTTTATTTACAAATCTTCCATCAATTATCGAATATCCGGCGCTATAACCGGTTTGGTGGATACGGGGGATCCACCTAGAGGAGTTGGAAAACCCTCAAAACCAATAGTACACATGGACTCCAGGATCCTGAGGAAACAAATGACACATAAATCCAGTACTGGTCACCGGCTACCATGAGAAAGCATCTCCTGACGTTGCTCCAATGCCCTTAAGAGCAGTTTTATTTATATGTTTAAACATATAAATATTGCAACAAAGAGGCACCAGATATATATGCGTCACACAATTCTCATTTGATTTGTGTGAGGGCTGTGATACTGCCCAGGTGCCCAGACTGAAGCAAGTGGTTTTCTTACGGAGCCACACCCTGAGCCTTTGACCTAAAGATCTGATCCACAAGGTAGTGGAGCATTGTGAGGAGATGCAGTCCCATGGTATCCGGTGACCAACGATTGGTTCACACACCATTTGTTCTCTCATGATACTGGAGCCAGCCCATGTACACCATTGGTTTGGAATGGGGGTTTTCCAACTCCCTTAGGTGGACCCTCCGTGTCCACCGACCCGGTTAGAGCGCCGGATATTCACTTATCGTCCTCTCAATTTCGTAAACAACACCCGTGGTGCGAGAAGGCAGTGAGTAGGACCTCCTTGGCAGAGGCTATATACGCGTGGTCATGTGAGAGCATAAAGTGATGGCCTTTGCAGAGCAAGGTACTGGATTCAAGTTCTGAATTAAACTCCAACCATGGGATGCAGATACATCTAACCTATGAATTCCAAATGGAATGAAACAGGCGTCCTGGATTCCACTGCTAGACACCCTCATCTCTTTTTGTCTTGAATTACTGTCACAAATAAATGATTGGACGGATTTATCGAAATAAACACCAGATTACAATGATTATCTTACGGATTAATAATAGAGCGCTTTCAAAATCTCCAGATGTCTCAGATGCCAATGAATCGACCAATGTTTTACCATATTTCTATGAATAAAATGAAAAGGTGAACATTTACTCATATCAGCTGAATATTATTAAAGACAGAATAAGTGCCTATGAATTTGTAGCAAAACTTATTTTTCAATATTCAATCAATATACAATGACTCTTCATATAAAAAACGTGCTTCGATTTGGGCACTCGGGGATTATTCCAGCCCTCATACCAATTGGATGATTTATATGGAACATACATATGTATTTGGTGCCTCTGTGTACCGATGATTATATGTTTAAATAAATTAATAACTGGTGTGAACAGAGAAACAAAGAAGCTATGACAGACAACGGAATCTATTCTTGAAGACACTATTTCACTTCATTCAAAGCTTGTCAAATACTTACAATTAGTTTTGTACCTAGTTTATTCTACAAGCCATAAGCTTTCATATGATGTATAATTCACTGTCATGCTTGTAGTTTGGACGTAAACCTTAGTAGTCTATTCTTTTTACCCTAATGCCCAGTTCGGACGCAGTTGTTGTCTTTCTAATTGATTATTCGTTGTGGTCATGTTAGTTATCTATTTATTTATGTATCTTTTAGCACCTGTCTTTCTTTCATTTGACAAGCTGGAATATGCTACAGTAACCTCTTGACATTATGATCATGTAAGCCTCGCTCTCGAGACCGAAGGTCCTGGGTTCGAATCCCGTGAATGCGAGGAGACCCATACTAGGATGAAATGGCCATCCAGCGCTTCCAAATTTTCCATGGTGGTCAAGCTCTAATTTGCTCGTGAACACAACTATTAAATAAACAAATGGTACACAACTGTTGTAATACCATTTAAACGCCACAACAAATCTTCGTTCATATGAATGCGTGTAGATGATTACGGACATCAGTTCAATTGGTAACTAGTCAAAATATTAGACAGAGGAAACAAAAAGAAAGCCAGGGAATTCCTAAAAGCCCGGGATTCCGACCAAGTATCAAATGATAGACATATAGAAATCGATCAAATCTATTCAAAAGTACATAAAACGTCAGAGCTCAAGTTTAAAGAGAAAACAATAAAAATTAACATGCCTACTATGATAGCACAGTTACAGATAATAGACAATCAAATTCCAAGTCAACAAGACAGTCTTCTAGTCAATTTCGAAGAAATCCTAATGGTTCACTTCTCTTTACGATAAGTATTGATGATGCTATTCAGAAGAAGAATGAAAACTTCACAGCTCAAAAGTGACATTACTTTCATTACCTGAGTAATTAAATATGTAACGTGATTGAATACAAGTAATTACGGGTGAATGCATAATGTTGCACAGAAATAAGACAAACCTTTTCAAACAGATGAGAAACCTCTTGTAAATGCCAAACACTTCGACCGCATACAATCCTAATGATAGCTTCTTCATCAGTTCCTAGATGCCTACAAGAATCATTAAAAAACACAGATTGATATTCAATAAAATACATAGATAGAAAATGTAATAATTTATCTACGAAGAAAATGTGCTGTCATGACTACATTTCTGTTCATGATTTGTTTTATGTGATTAGTTTTATGGTTAGATTAAGGCACTAACTGTCTTACTTTATCAATTCACACGAGGTATAAGATGTTATCAAACTTCAGTTATTGTACTAAAAGATTGGATAAGTAGTCAAAAGTACCTATATTCCTCTCCCCCACATCATTCCAATATGGTCAATTACGGTCCTAAACATCGAACAACCAATACAAACATTGAATTAAACTTCACCCTACTGCAGAAGCTAGTGGCTATTAGGACTTAGTTGAAGCAAACAGTGTTGGGTTCTAGTCCCGGAGTGGACATCAGCACTGAGGTGCAGTCACATTCAGCTGACAAGTTCCAAATAGGAAAAAACATGTGTGTTGGAGATTCCACTGTTAGCCAACACCCATCTTTACTTACAATGCTTGTGACTTAAGGCAATATCGAGGCAATCCGCACAGGATGCACATATACCATCAATCGATCGATGTTTGACCACTATTAAAAACGTGGAAGCACTGGACTAGGAGTCCTATACTAGGACGAAACGGCCAACCAGTACTTCGAGGTTGTCGATGCTGGTCTTATATTGATCGACTCATGATCTAAATCAAAAACTCAACGATCTCCACAACGTTATACTGAAAATATTTTTTGATAATTGAAAAAAACAAACAAGCAATATACTTACGCTTCACCAGCATCCCATAATGTTTCAACATCTTGTTCAACTTGACTCATATCAACTACACTTTTCAATCCTTTTTTACTAATTTTTTCAACATCTTCAAATGGAATTTCATCACGTTTAGCTTGAAGCAATGCAACGACGAGCTGTTGTAAGTAGCCGCCCAAATCACTTTGTACATCACTTTCTAATGTTCTACTGGGATCTATTTTAAAAGTATAATAATAACCCTAAACTAGACGTTATCAGAAAACATAGGTTTACTCAAGGAAACAAAATAAACAGTTTAGGCTCATCAACCCTGTGTCGACAGGTGCTTGTATATCAGTCGTAGCATCAAGAGCACAATGAAAAAGGAAGGGTGTCTTTCAAGCCATATAATCAACAGAGCCTAACACTGTGAAAAGTGAACGATTGATCAAATATGTAAATCAATTACTCCCTTTTATACATTTTGATAGAACAATGAGATAAACTCCGTCGGCTTATTTTTCTATTATACTAAATATATATCAAACTACTTACTATTATTCAGTAATATATCGAAAAACAGAAAAACCAAGCAAACAACTATGACCATAATGACTTTGAATATGTAGATTGTATTCTTTGCGAACGGACTTCAGTACAAGTACCATTGATAAATAGGTAGGACTGTATATTTGCTTCTCACTACCGTAAGACTACTCAATAGTAAACGTTTATGAATTCCAGGTAATGCTCAGTGTATTCAAACGGTCTATCACTTAGCTGTTATTTTTTTTAACATATACTTTTGAGATGGTGGAGATTTGTAGCTCAGGTGGGTGATTTTGATGTAGGTTTGTTCTCTGAGCTGGATGATTTGGTTATGGAGCTTTCATCGTCCTTCTGAACGACACCATCAGCACAAACTTCGGGTAGAAGCGAAGTATTTGAACCTCATGTGGAGACATTCAAACACTTCACTTCTACCCAAAGTTTGTGCTGATGATGTCGTTCGGAAGGACGATGAAAGCTCCACGACCGAACCATTCAGCTCAGAGAACAAATCTACATCAAAAACAGATACTCCTAACTCCCATCAATTCGTTATATTGAGCGGTTATTTTCTAGAGTCATTGAAGAGAACTATTTTACCCACAGAATCGGTAAAGTTCACCTGTTATAAGTTTACTGTTGAACTTCAGAAAATGATTATGTGTTTCGTTGATATTTTTTAAGATGGTCAACTTTCTTCAGTAATTTTAGGTTTTCTGGGTATGTTTTCATCATCATTAGTTATCATTATTATTAATTCCTAACAAGTAGTCTGAACGTATTTTAATTGGCCTTATAGCAGCTATATATAGTCAACATTGTAATCACGAAGTGGTTCGTTCCCATAACTTAAGGTAGTGAGTTTGGGCCTTAGTGAGATGTTATAGATAGTTCCATACTAAGACGAAACCATGAACCAGTCCTTCCTGGTTTCCAATGGTGCTCTAACTTAGATCGATTCGCGAATTCAATTGTTAAAGGTACTATAATCTCCATAAATCCCCATTCTGAAAATAATCATGTGCTCGCTAGTGACTAGCTTCAAGATGGATATACTAGAGTTCTAGTTAGAAACCCTGATCAGTGGAGTGTAATCCATGCCGCGTGTGAGAGAGCTATTCATCTCAGACAATGTATGAAGGGTTGCTCAAGACCACAGATCGATACAAGTTAAACATTAACAATGTTGGATGCCGGTTCAGTCGTCTAGAGGTTAAGCATTCGTGTGACATCGTGGATGTGCACCGTTGAACAGTCCCATATTATGGCAATTAAAACATTCAATTTTTTATGTTAATCAAACAGTTTAACTTACCACTGATTCCATAATCCCTTAAAACTGAAAAAAAAACAATCAAAATACAAAAAGATCATTTAAATGATTGTTGTTCCATTCAAGATAAACATTTTAACTCATTCTTCTTTAGAATTCAACAGTTTAATTTATGTCTAACTAAGAGTTGATGTTTTTCATTGATAATCGAAGTTTTATTGTCATCGCTTTATATACTGGAGTTCTATGCATAAAACTATTAGAAGTTGATAACAGTCTGACTTCAAGGAGTCTTTGTAAATCAACAGGTTGATCAGTCTAGTCTTGAATATATCAAACACTTAATTTTGATCATTTTGCGTGTAACTTCCAACTTTCTTGTATTACATGGTATTAGGAAATCATTGAAAAGATTTTGAGATGATGAAGTTTTGTTCTCTGAGCTGGATAGTGGAAGTTCTATCTGAAGTTTATGTTGATGATGTCATTCAAGAGAAAGATTAACGCTCTATGTGACAACACATCTAAAGAGCCTAAATTCTGATAACCCCTAAGTATGCTTAGAAGGATGTAAAACAAGTTGAGAATATTGTATCATCATGAATAGAAACTATTTGTCAAGGTGTAAGATTATTTATTTATTTATTTAATCACATATATATTGGCACAAAGGGCACCGGATACATATGCGCCACACAAAATAATGAGAATGGGAGAAGGAAGAAGATGCGTATATATAAAAGAAGGAAAAAAAAGAAAAGAAGAAGATGGGGGAACTGAATGTACAACCAGAAGAGCTCTCTCAGTTAGGAAAGTTATAGCCACTCTTTATGAAGAAAGTAGAAAAAGGTTACAGCAGGCTCGCCACTGGCTTCTATTCTGAGCCATATATGATAATGTCTCTAGCCACTGTGTTGCACCATCTCTCGGACCCCAGCCAGGGAGTCGTGAAGGACCAACAGAAGCTAGCCCTTTGCAGCTCTCTTTCATGCCACTACACCATGTCATACATGGTGTCTAATCCCACTCCTGACACTAGACTTATACCTGCTTCGGTTTGGGCACCCGGGCAGTATCACAGCCCTCTCACAAATAAATGAAATAGAACATTCAGCTGACAATTATATTGTCGTTCATACAAGGTGTAAGATTAATGTATTTGAAAAGTGATAAATCTTGCCAAATAAACTCTCAATCCTATCTCCTAGCAACTCGCTAATAACCCCCGACTACATCTACATGGAAACTTGAACACAAAAGATGCGATTCTGCATTTTCTAGATATTTCTGCAAAGATTCTACTCAACGTTGACTGGATAAAACGTTCTTTGTCATTTCTAGGCCTCCAGAGATTTTGATAAGAGATACCATTGAGAATGCTCCAATAAAACGTTTATACCTTATAGTTGAAAGCGTGAGTCAATTGAAGCTAGACCACCTAGGAAAACCTGAAAGCATTGGACGGCCGTTTCGTCCTATCGTGGGACTTCTCAGCTAAGTTCGTATAATACACTAAATAGACTACTTAAATTTTGCTTACCAGATAGATAAGCTTGTTTAATATTTTCAATTTCAATATTGCTTGCTGTGCATAAAACTTCAATAATTGTTTCTTCATCAGTTCCTCCACCTTTCATTGCTTTGTATAATGCACGTGCATCAACTTTATCTATATCAGTTAAAAGCATTTTAAGTAGTCTTCTAAAATCACCGCTTGTTTCACTGCACAATTCATCTATTAAATCCTGTTTTGAAAAAGATAATAAACAAAATAGTTATAAATGGTTCATACAAACAATTGAAACATTGTCTCTTATTGACATTGGTCAATTGTAGTCCTTAACATCAATGGGAAGATTCAAGTAAACAATAACAAGTGAATTTAAACTTCAGATCATTATACAAGTAAGTGGCTATCAGGATTCAGTAGCTAAGTGGATAACGTGATGGCGACTGAAGCGAACAGTACTGGGTTCGAGTTCCAGGGTGAACATCAGCTACGAGATGCAAGTACATTCAGATGACGAGTCCCAAATATGACGAAACAGGTGTCCTGAATTCCAATGTTAGCCACTATCCATCTCTGTTTAAAGTACTTGTGAATTAAGACAATATCGAGGCAATACACACAGTATGCACATATGCCAATAAGAGATAGACTGATCAATTGCAGTCCTAAACATCAATGGGAAGATTCAAATAAACAATACCAAGTGAATTAAAACATTGAATTTTTAAAACTACAACAGCATACTATTTCGATAAGAAGAGACTAGTTTTGTGAAGACTTTATTATATTCATAGTTGACTATACAAGCCGATCTAAACTAGACTATCATTGAAAACCTGGAAGCACTAGAGCACCATACTAGAAGAAAACGGCCGTTCAGTGATGCCTGGTTTTCATTGGTGGTTTAACTTAGATCGACTCGTATATTTTAATTCATTTGAGACTCGAAATACAAATGTACTGGAATCCAAATGTGTTGATTTTCTATAAAAAACTTGAACCCTTAAACGCTAAACAAGTCATCGACTGAGCATTGCTTTGTGCAACGTGATTGAATGTTTGATTCGTCATTCGAAAGGATTTGTATTTTCGTATCATTGATGTTAAGAACTGCAACTGATGAATCTCTTTTGGTATTAGGAGTTTCAAACGAGAGATCATGGGTTTGAGTACTGGTGTGAACATTAACACCAGAATGAAGGTTTATTCAGCTGACAAGTTAGACATAAAACGAAACTTAAGTCCTGAATTCCAATGCTAACCACTGTCTAACTTTAGTAAAAGCTTGTCATTATATGGCCGTAATTAGGTCAGGATGAAAATTTACCAAAAGAGACAATCCTTAGCATAAACAATGGAAAGACATAAGTGATGCCCACTTGTGTTCTAGTTCACTACAATCTGTCTTTAGTAATTCTTAATACAATAGATTTCTGTGAGAAACTATTAGTTAAAAGCATCTTCCAACATACAATAATGATCATGATCAACTTACCTTTCCATACATTGCTTTAAAAGTATCTCGTATTTCCATTCGTTGATAAGAATTACGATAACCCAAAACTTTGATGATACGATGCTCATCAGTTCCTAGTAAAATACAAAAAGAAAGAAAAAATAGGAGAGGGAAATTAGATTGCAATTAAGTGGTTATTCGACCTTATTAGCTAAATGGATAACTTCGTACTATTTGAAACGAACAGTACTAAGTTCAAGCAAGTTCCGGAGTGATTATCATCTCTGCTATTCAGGTACATTCAGCCGACATTTTTGAAATAAGGATACATGAAAGTCCTAGATTACAAATGCTAGATTCATTCTATGTATTTTATATGCTTATATTAGTGTTACTTGTCAAAATCATAATAAACCACACCTTTTTCAAACAAAAAAAAACCTCTCTAATCTGGTATATTTCATCCTTCAGCAATTGTAGTATTATGTATTAATAAAGGTTTCGTAATATTGTAAATTGACCAAAGTTAGAGATGTAAACCATCCGAGATAAACTCAACAAGCTGAAGGTTAAATGCTTTATACATACCCTGAAGGTGTTAATTTTAATCTCTGGTTAAACCAAAGATAGGATTTCACTTGGTATTGTTTGTTTGAATCTTCCCATTGATGTTTAGGACTACAATTGATCAGTCTCTTATTACTAGCATATTTGCATACAGTGTGCATAGCCTTAATTCATAAGTATTATAAGCAAAGATGGACAGTGGCTAGCAGTGGAATCCAGGATGTGCGTTTCGTTCTATTTAGGACTCGTCATCTAGATTTACCTGCATCTCAGAGTTGATTTTCACTCTGTGACTCAAACCCAGTACCTTTCTCTTCAAACGCCATCGCGTAATCCACTCAGCTACTAAAAACAAAAGTCTACTGCTCGGATAAAATAATTATTCAGTACTTCCTGATTTCTAACTGAAGTCAATCTAAGATACATAACCAAAGATTTAACTATCTATACGAAAATATAAATATATAGATATAAATGTCGCTAGTCAATTCGCCAACATCAAACTTCTTTAAACTGTTCTTTTCTTTTCTATTTATAGTTTGTATTTCAGTTATTATGTCATCAAGAATATTTAAAAAATTTAATGAAGTTTGCCTGGTTACTATGTTACCATGGTGTTTCAGCATGATTTATATTGAAATTGAGATAGTCAATCATACCCAGTTAGAATATATGAGAATGAATAATTAATGATTAACGGAAATATAATTTTCCAATTATCTGTCTTTTATTTTACAGTGAAATGTAACTATGCTGAAAAGTAATGATAAATAGTAGATAATTGTATTATTGTGGTGTAGACTACTTAAGTCGAGAGATATAAGTAGTATGTAATCGAAATCAAAAATGGAAAGCCTGTTAGAAGATTGAGTTGAAGAGAATACAAAGGATAACAGAAAGGAAATAAAAAAACAACCGATTTCGAAGAATGTAGAAGTATGTACATAACAATGCAAAGATGTGATACAAAAAACTGGTATGACTTATGGCCCTGTCAATTATTATATGAAGAAGTCTCCAAAATATCAACTTATACGACCCTGTCCCTCTTCTAAACCAATAAGAAAATGAGATCCTATTCACCCGATGTACCCTAAATAGAATGAAATGTGTTGATTACGTAATGAATGAAAACAATATAAAGTGTACCGGACAGTTATTATGCAATACTATAGACTTTATCAAATTTAGTTCTGTATGCTAATTATATTCAAAGATTTAAAATTGAATAGATATAAAGTCAAGAATAGAACAATTTAATTCATTTCATATACAATACAAACTAATGGATTGTAAATGGGTATTCCTTATGTCCGTTGAACCGTATATTTCATCTGCTGATTATTGTTTCAACACTCATTACAATCCAGATTCATTCCAAGTGAGCGCCAGTGTCAGATAAGGCGGATTACTCTCTCACTTCCTCTTTCTTCTGGTGGTTGACTGGGCTATGAAGATCTACACATCAGAGGTTTATCACGGAATACAATGGACAGCTTGAATGCAACTATCCGACTTGGACTTCATAGATCGCCTAGCTCTTCTATCCCATACACATCAACAAATGCAAGTAAAGACAAACAGTGTAACAGCAGCCTCTGAAATAGTAGGCCTCAGTATACACAAAGGAAAAACCAAGATCCTCAAATACAACAGGAATAAGACCAACACATTCACACTTGATGGAGAAGCTGTGGAAAATATGGAAACTCACACATCTAGGGTGCATCATCGATGAACAAAGAGGATCTGATACAGATGTGAATGCAAGGATTGACAAAACAAGGGCAGAATGTCTACAACTGAAGAACATATAAAACGCAGAACAACTGTCAACCAATAACGAAGTCAGAATTTTCAATACAAACGTCAAGGCAGTCCTACGGTACGGAGCTGACACTTTAAGAACTACTACAACTAATATCATAAAGGTACAAGTATTTATGAACAGTTGTCTACGCAAGGTACTCAATATTCGTTGGTCGGATACCACCAGCAACAACCTACTGTAAGATAGAAAAAAACCAGCTTTCAACTGAAGAGGAAATTGGTAAAGGATGCTAGAAATAAATAGGATATACATTGAGGAAATCACGAAACTGCATCACGAGGCAAAACCTTACATGGATTCGTGAAGAGAAACGGGAAAGAGGAAGACCAGTGAACATAGTGCACCGAGAATCGAAACTAGATCTGAAAAGGATAAATATGGACTGGAAACAACAGGAAAGAATCGCTCAGAACAAATTTGGTTAGAGAATGCTGATGGCTGGCCTATGCTCCTTCGCGAGTTAACTCTTTTTTTCTGGTTATCGTTTTTTGGTGAATTAGCTTTCGACGACATAGTGTCGCTAACCTCCTGCCCAACCATCTTCCTTTATCAGGGCTTGAGACTGGCAGTAGCCCCCAGAAAGGCTAGTTTATATGAAACAACTTCATTAATCGATCCGATCAAGATTGTAATTCCTTTTATTCATATTTAATAAGATGTTAAACAAACATTCACATACATGAATACTGAATGTAATGTAATTGCACACAAAATGTATTTTGTTCTATTTACTGTGTATACAAATAATTAATCACATGTGTTGTATGAAAACTTGAATTATGAATCACGTACGTTCAATGTTCAAATGGTTTATTCAAACAAAAATGTAACTAGTTTCTAGTTGCATGTTTTTTTTATCTTCAAAATTCATACACAGAATTTTGATTACATGTCTAATGTACAACTGAAATTTCACAACAACACCGCCTATTTAGGGTTACTGTTGGTCCCAAGCCCAGATAAAAGAGGGGGGCTGGGCATAGCGGTTAGAGACCCCATCCCGTAAAAAACCAACTCGCTAAAAAAACGTTAACCAGAAAAATATATTCAAATCATTTAAACTCTGCCCTGGGGAGTTAGAAGGTCTTCATTTAGAAGAGTTATGACGCCTCATGGTGAAATCTGAGTTCCTTCGGAAGTCATGAGGTTGATGCCCCTTCTGATAACCAGACCAACCAATAATTTAGTTACATGGAATGTTCGTACGATATGGGAGTAGTAGGTCTCAACATACACAAAAGGAAAAGCAAGATTCTCCAGTACAACACAATATGCACTAATCAAATCACACTTGACGGAGACTTATCCATATGAATGGGCCATCAATCATAATACGATCATTACTTTGAACTGGACAAAAATATTACTCATTTTTGAAAGATAGTAATTCTGAGCTGTTATCTATACATATATATGTGTGTACAGTTTTAGTTAAATCACATTTCTGACTATGTGGATTATATACAGTTGAGATCATGAGTCAATTTAAACTAGGCCACCATGGAAAACATAGCCGTTTCGTCCTATTGCTGGACTACTCAGCAGTGCGCATCCACGATCCCGCCTCGAGAGATTCGAACCCAGGACCTACCAGTCTCGCGCCAGATTGTCCATGATTGTCTAGCTTCAATTAACTCATGATCTCAACTATATAAAATTACTAAAATCTCCACAAAACTTCCCTTCTGATATTTGGATTATATTCACATTACAGATTTATTTTATTTTTCTTAAATATATAAATATTGGTACAAAGGGGCTCAAGATATATATGCGCCGCACAAATCTCATTTGATTTGTGTGAAGGCTGTGATACTGCTCAGGTGCCCAGACTGAAGCAGGTGGTTTGCATAGGGGGCCACACCCGGAGCCTTTTACCTAAAGATCTGATCCACAAGGCAGTGGAGCATCGTGAGGAGATGCAGTCCCATGGTAGCCGGTGACCAACGATTGATTCATACTCCATTTGTTCCCTCAAGATACTGGAACAAGCCCATGTGCACCATCAGTTTGGAATCAGGGTTTTCCAACTCCCCTAAGTGAACTTTCTGTGTCCACCAACCCGGTTAAAGCGCCGAGTATTCGCTTTTCGTCCATTCAATTTCGTAAACAACACATTACATATATGAATGTATGAATACTATAAAATGTATTATACATATTCTACATTATACATTTTAGTGTCATTTTTTCAGTCTATAAATGACTTATTCATAGATTTACACTATTTCAATGGTTATTTAAAAAATTGACTAATGAATCAATGAAAGTTAGATAGTGTTAACAACACATAGTATCCATGTGAAAATATTGTTCCTGTTTTTGTTTTGTTTTATTCTTTCATACAACTAAAGCCAGGTGATTATGTAACAACATTTCAATGTCCAATAATTGTGATATTGTTTTTTCTAATTAAATAAGGTAAAATGAGAATGAGAGAAATTCACTATTATTGATCTATTTTATTATGTATTCTAATAAACTTGACGCTTATAATCACATGAACACAAACACCTTGATGTTTATTATTGTTACTTTTATGATTGTTTTAATGGTTGAATTCATGAGTTGTTCTATGCTAGATCACCACTGAAAACATGAAGTCAATAGATGGCTGTTTTATCTTATTATGAGACTCCTTAGCAATGTGTATCCACGATCTCGCATGCGGGACTCGAACTCAGGACGAAACTATAACCTTTGTACTTTTATATATTACCACCAGTAAATTAACTACTTATATGAATCCGGTGTTCATCTTGTTGTGCTAACGAGATATGGCAACTTGGACCGATGCATAGGTGTGTCTGGTCCTACGTTGTAGCTCACTGACTAGATGACTGAGGACGTGCATTTCGTCTCATTTGGTACTAGTCAGCTGGATGTGTTTGTATCTCAGAGTTGATATACACTCTTGGACTCGAACCCAGTGCCGTTCGCCTCAAACGCCATCCCGTTATCCACTTAGCTACTGATTCCTGATATCTACTTGCTTGTGCAATAAGGTGAAGCTTAAATTCAATTAGTATTGTTTGGTTGAATCTTTTCAATAACGTTTAGAACTGCAATTGATCAGTCTCTTTTTATTAGCATATGTGCATCCTGTGCGTATTGCTTCGCAATCGTCTTTATTCACAAGTATTCTAAGCAAAGATGAATAGTGGCTAGCATTAGAATCCAGGACGCGTGTTTCGTCCCATTTGGAACTTGTATCTCGAATTTGATGTTCACTCTAGGACTCGAACCCAGTAATGTCCGTTTCAGTAATAAGTGACTGACCAATTACAGTCGTAAACAAACAACCAATATAAGAATGAATTAAAGTGTCACTTCGTTTAACAAAGCTTAAAAATAATGATATTCATTGATGAAGTCATTCGATTTTTTTCATATATTAAGATGGTTTTATTCGCAGACTAAGAGTATGCTACAGTTGAGAGTTCTACTGAAAAGTAGAAATTATTAGATTGTAAGGCTAAACTATACCGAGTTCTGAATCTATCTTGAAATAGTAAGGTCAAATCTCAACTATTTAAAATGTAGATGATTCAATTAAGTAATTAACTACACACAAAACACTAGAAAAGGTTAGTGTCAGAATTTTAATTTGAGATTTTGGGATAACATATTAGGTTGGGACTTAGGTTTAGGATGTCAGTCAGTCAGTTAAAACGTAAGACCAGGCACACATATGCATCGGTCCAAGTTGCCATACGTCGTTAGTACAACAAAATGAACACCGGATTCATAGAAGTAGTTAATTTAGTGGTGGTAGTACATAAGGATATAGTATAGGAAGGAAGAACGTTATGAATTAATTTTAATCTTAAGGTTTAAGGGAAGATAAAGAGTGTATGCACCTTCGCCATTGTGATCGATTCTGAGCCATGTCACACAGAGTCTCCAACCACCGGTTACAATAGTCACGCGGACCCCAACCAAGTAGTCTGCGTCTGCCAACATGGCTCAAATCAAAATTTTGTGACTTCAAACACTGATGTCATGTTTTGGTATGGTCACCCCTAACTCTCTTCCAACCATCCTCAACACTAATCAGCATTGCACGTCGTGGTTATCGGTGTTCAGGCATATGTAACACGTGGCCCAACCATCTCAGTCGACGAAGATTCATGACCACATCAACTGATTTACCATCATCCCCTAATATCCTGCGTTTAACCTCACTATTACTCACCCGGTGATATCAGCAGATGCGAGCAATATTTCTAAGGCATCTGTGATCAAATACTAGAAGCTTACGTGCATTTTCTATTCTTAATGGCCATGTTTCGCAGCCGTAATGTAGAACAGAACGAACTGCTGTGTTGTATACTCATCCCTTAATTGATAGACAGATATCTCGTCTTCTCCATAAGTGACGTAAGTTGGCAAAAGCCAAACGAGCTTTTTCAATCCGTGTAGAGATTTCGTCAGACACCAACTCATTACGGTTGATCAGACTTCCAAGATAAGTGAAGTTGTCGATTCGTTCGACTACTTCACTCCCTATCCTTATTTCAGGTGTTGATGCAGGCCAGTCGTGGAGTAAGAATTTAGTCATGCTATATACTACTTGTATTTTGTTAATGAAAATACTTGTTGACTTAGATATTTAATCCGATAAAAAAAATTCATCACAAAGTATGCGTAATCATTCAAAAACTACTGAACATTAAACTTCGGTTGTTATTTTTTCTTCTTTTTTCTTGCTTAATACTCATGCCAAAGTTCAATTAGATTAACAACAACAACAACCATCTATCCATTCAAGAACATTCCAATAACTAATGTGTTTTAATTAAACTGCAAAAATTGATGAAACTATTACTAATTTACAATGTAACATACACACACACCCACACATAGTTGCTATAATTAAGATAATTCACTTATTATTAATGACTAATACTATGAAAGGTTGATTATATAAACTATGGTGTCAAACACCAAAACCATATCAAGTCAGATTACTATATTGAATCATGATCTAATCGTCTTATGTAACGAGAGTGTGTGTGTGTGTGTGGGAGAGAGAGAGCATTTCTAGTTTGCACAATCAACCTACACAATATTAGTCACCATTGAATATTGAACGACCTACATTCAAAACAAAAAAACTTAAAGTTCAAGGCATTGAATACCTTGATCAAAAGTTAAGTTTCAACATTCACTGCTGATAATGATGATGGTGATGGTGATATCTATTAGGTTTATTAGTTATTAAACCAGGATAAAAGAGATTATTGTGATTTATTACAGTTTACATTCTGAATGACTGTTGCTAGTTAAACATTTTCATTAATTAATAGAGAATTGTGTTAAATGACATAGCAGCCTCACCAGCAATAGGTTTCAACATACACAAAAAGGAAAAGCAAGATTCTCCGATACAACATAACATGCACCAATGATATAACACTTGACGAAGGAGTTTTGCAGGATGTAAAAACCTTTACATATTTTGGCAGCATCATTGATGAACACTGTGAATCTGATACAGATATGAAGGCGCAAATCGGCAAAGCAAAAGCAGTATATCGACAATTTAACATCTGCAACTCAAAACAACGTTCTGTCAACCAACACCAAACTCGCAATTTTCAATACAAATATCAACACAGTTCTACTGTATGGAGTGGAAACTTGAACAACTGCGAGAGCCATCATCCAAAAGATACAGGTGTTTATTATCAGTTGTCTGCGCAACATACTCAATATCCGTTGATCAGACACTATCTATCAGCAACAACCTACTGCGTGAGATAACAAACCGGAATCGAACTGAGGAAGAAATCAAGAAGAAAAACTTGAAGTGGATAGGATACACATTGAGGAAAACACTCAACTGAGTCACAAGGTAAGCTCTCACTTGGAATCCTGAAGGTCAAATGAGAAGAGGAAGACCAAAGAACACATTACGCCGAGAAATGAAAAACAATATGCGAAAAATGGACAACAACTGGATAGAACTAGAAAGGAAGACACAGGACAGAGTGGATTGAAGAATGCTGGTCGGTAGCCTATGCTCCATTGGGGGTAACAGTCATAAGTAAATAAGTTATTCAGTTTATGATTGAAGAAGTAATCAGAAAAAGATACTTATAAACAAACGTATATACTACTGAATTCATTCTGTAGTTTAAGAACATTAATAATATATTTAATTTGTAATAATTTGAATTATTTCAATGTTGGTATTTTTGACTGAAATTAGATTAATCCTAATTTGTGTTAATGAAATCCTATGAGGATTGCTTGAATGTAGCCATTGTAACATGATTTAGTATAGAATAGATGGGCAATACATTGGTATGTGAAGCCAACGCTACTGAGTTCGAGTCCCAAATTAAACATTAAAACTGGGATACAGGTATATACAGTTAAAGGGTTTAAATTAGGACAAAATACACGTTCTGAATTACAATACTAGTTACATTTCATCTACTCTATATTAATAAGAGATTTTTATTAACGTTGGAATCATGAGTCAATTAAAGCTAGACCACCATGGAAAACCTGGAAGCACTGAACGGCCATTTCGTCCTATCGTGGGTCTCCTGAGCAGTGCGCATCCACGACCCCACACTCGCGAGATTCGAACCCACAACTAAACAGTCTCGCATGCGAGCGCTTAACCGTTGATATTACCAACAAGGTTTGATTAGTTGTTTAAACTATTCTTAATTGATCAGAGATTTGGTCTCAAATCTATAACGATCTGAACAGAGAATTAAAATCGAAAAAAAACAAAAAAAATCTTTATCATTTACCCCATCCTTTCATTGCTTGATAAAGTTCTTCAGCATCTTTCTTAGGATCATTATGTAAATCAATTTTTAATGTAGGATGATAAGTTTCACCATTTGGACCAATAATTTGTGATTTATCTCTTCCCATTATTATTTGTATAAATAAATTACTGAATAAGAGAAGCAAAAATTAAAAATGAAATGGGTATTAGTTAGACGTTTCGTGACTCGGTGTAAGCCATTACTTCGTCAGAAAATTAATAAATAGATTAAATTAACCGAAGAACAAAGGAACAGCTCCCAAATGCCCTGGTAAGGCCGAGAGTGGGGAGAGTACGCTCTCCCTCTCCAAATGCTCTCACATGGCCACGCGAATATATAGTCTCTGCTAGGGAAGTCCTACTACCTGCCTTCTCGCAACTGGGGTATTGTTTACAAAATTGAGAGAACGAAAAGCGAATGTCCGGTGCTATAACCGGGTTAGCGGACACGGAGGGTCCACCTAGGGGAGTTAGAAAACCCCCATTCCAAACCACTGGTGCACATGGGCTGACTCCAGTATCCTGACGGAACAAATGGCGTATGAATCAATCGTTGGTCACCGGGTACCATGGGATCTTATCTCGTCACGATGCCCCACTGCCTTATGGATCAAACCATGAGGTTAAAGGCTCAGAGTGTGACCCCTTAAGAAAACCACTTGCTTCGGTTTGGGCACCCGGCCAATATCACAGCCCTCACACAAATCAAATGAGATTTGTGCGGCGTATATATATCTGATGCCCCTTTGGACCATTATTTGTGTGTTTAAGTAAATAAATAAGTCAATATTCAGTGGTGAGTTCGAAGAGGTGAATCATTGAAGAGTCTATACTAGGATGATACGACTATCTAGTGTTACTTGATTTCGATAATTATGTAACTTAAATCGAATCATAATCTCATGAGTATATAACATGATCTGATCTCTTTTATTTGACTTTCTGGTGTTCTGATTTGCTGTTTGAAGAAAAGAAGAACTAGTGTTGTTTATTGATTGCATAACAAATACACGGATACAGATGTTTGAAACAAGAGCGTAGGCAGGTAAACAACAAATATTTTTTTCTAATTTCACATATTATGATCTTATTTGTACAGTTAAATGATAATTCAATTTTCTATGCAATAATGTTTTTCTTCTAGCACAAACAAGATATGCACCTATGTAACTCTTGTAAATAAATTGAAATAACTCTTTAAACATGTATTTTCACACAATTAATATCTGAGTAGTTATGTAGTATATGCTAATGATGTAGACAGATATAAGTAGTATGTATCATCAATTAAAAGTGAACTGTCTAGAGGCAGAAGAAGGTTAAGAAGATCGAACAGAAGAGAACGTGACTAGTGAATGATTGATGTGGAAACGAAGGAACAATTAAGTCTGAAACAATTGATAAACTTTTAGCAAATGAATTATTTGCTTTATGGTTCTGAGATTTCACTAAGAGATTATCCCCATCCTCATCAACTACAGTTGTATATTTCAACTTTAATTCTATATAAGACAATATTATCGAATACAACCTGATGATGTTTTAGTAGGATATGGTAAATTGAATCAGTATACATGCTATGCCAATATTCTTCGAATGTTCATTCATTGAACAAGGAAGCAACAGATATATATGCGCCGCACAAATCTCATTTGATTTGTGTGAGGGTTGTGATACTGCCCAGGTGTTCAAACTGAAGCAAGTAATTTTCTTAAGGGGTCACACTCCGAGCCTTTAACCTAATGGTTTGATCCATAAGGCAGTGGAGCATCGTGACGAAATGAGGTCCCATGGTACCCGGTGACCAACGATTGATTCATACGCCATTTGTTTTATCAAGATACTGGAGTCAGCCCATGTGCACCAGTGGTTTGGAATGGGGGTTTTCCAACTCCCCTAGGTGGACCCTCCGTGTCCGCTAACCCGGTTAAAGCAGCGGACATTCGTTTTACGTCCTCTCAAACTATACAATCATATACCATCAATAATTAGAATATAATTCATTTAGAATTGAAATAGAGTGAAATTACTTTATGAGTAATGATAATCTAATAAAGGAATTTCTTTGCCCTATCTATTTTTCCTTTTGCATTAAAAACAATTCGTTTTATAAAAAAACATTTCGTGAAATTATCATGGTTTTAAAAGTATTTTCAACTATGAATTAATTAAGGTATATTCTCTTATGTGTTTTACAAGTTTACTCGCTAACAGGGTCTAGAGTGTCCACTCTTAAAGAAGTTATATACTAGGATGAAATAGTTATTCGCTGCTCCCTAGTTTTACATAATATTCCAACTGAAACCAATCAGTAATGAATACCACTTACAAATGTTGAAAAAAGGGTTCAATTTAAAATGATAGCTTTCTTGTCAAAACTAAAAATGGACCAAATCAATGACACACATGGGCTCCAGGAACCTAAGGAAACAAATGTTGTATGAACTTATTGATACTGAACGGCTACCATGGGAATGCATCTCTTAACGTTGCTCGACTGCCTTGTGGATTAGACCTCCAAATCAAAGGCTCGGGGTGTGTCCTCCTCAGAAAACCACGTGCTTTGGTCTGCGCAGCATCTCAGCCCTCACACAAATCAAGTGAAGAAGTGTAGCGCATATCAATCTATATATAGTGTGCCTCTTTGTACCAATGTTTAAGTGTTCAAATAAATAAATAATTTCTATTAATAGACGACTCTCTATATGATTGGAATGGGAATTCCCTTATTTTCACAAATGTTCATATCGATTTTCTTCAAAAAAGTTCACACTTTTCTGTTGAATAATTTAGTGACTACGTGAAATCCATAGTGAAGTAGGTAACGCATTGATTTAAAATGGAAGGTACTAAATTTGATCATCAACACTGAAATTTACGTTTATCAAGTTGATATGTACCAAGAAGGACGAAGTTTGAATCCTTAACTTCACTGCTAGTCACTATCTAGTTCAACTTAGATTAATATTGATTACAAAAACGGAATTATGATTTACAATATCACTTATTAAAAAATTTCATTAACTTAGTTTGTGGATCTATAGTATTTCATAAAAGACCCATTTCCCATCTTTGGTAAGTTGCTAAATAATATGACATCATTTTGTTGATCATTTCAAACTATTCCCAGTTATTATATAACTTGAAAGAGTACGTTGGATGTCGGTTCCGTGGTCTACACGTTAAGCATTCTTACGCGAGACCGAAGGTCCTGGGCTGAAATCCCATATGCAGGATTGTGGACAAGTACTGTTGGCGAGTCCCATGCTAAAACGAAACGACCATCCAATGCTTCCAATTTTTCCATGATGGTCTAGTTTAAATTGACACATCAATTCAACTATTAAATTACTACAATCTCCACATAATACCTTTTAAATAATCAGACATTTGTGTACACAGTTGGTTGATGCACACAAATCATTTGATGAGAGATATTCACTGTAATATTCTTAAATTATAAAGCAATTTATCGTTTTAATTAAATAATTTGAAATAGTACTGAAGTCATGGTAGTGTTCGAAAATTAATGTTAGCATAGACCTAGCTGGAAATTCAGGATCCAATATATTGGATAGAATGCATTTGAGTTAATTATTATGTAATTATATATTTTACATCCTATATATCTTCTAACACAAACAAAACCATTACTTACAAAGAAGAGACTTAGCAGCAACAACAACTAACCTTCAGTGACGAAACTAATGTCCAGTGATGCAAACTCAATCAAAATCATGTCAATATATTTGATTTATGAGAAATTTCAACCAATGAAATTTGTCCTCAATCAGATCTACCAATTAAATTATTTCCATTTGTAACATCTATATGGTTGTGATTGGTTAATAATGCAGGTACTTTTCTATTGGTTGATTAACATAATCACATTAATTTATTTTTTTTTGCGCGGTACAGTCGCAGAAAGCTTGAGTTTACTGCCATCTTGAATTCTTATTTAATCTGATCCTCACAGTTAAACAAAAAAAAACTGCACCACATATAACAACCCAATCGTCATATCTTCAAGAAAAATCAAACCAATAGGAGATACAACCAAAACAAAGAAATAAACAATGACAGATTTAAGGTCAATAAGAACCAATCAACATCGAGGTGCAGAGGACAAGCTGTGAATCACATGTAGAGAAATTCAAACAATTCACTTCTACCCTGAAGTTTGTTCTGATGATGTCGTTCAGAAGGACGATGAAAGCTCCACGACCAAACCATCCAGCTCAGAGAACAAACCAACATCGATGTCAATATTTTCCAACTTCAGTAAATTCATGTAACACTTACTCACTTAGGCCTGTTACACCTCGTGGAGGAGCATAGGCCGCTCACCAGTATTCTCATTCCAACCCTGTCCTGGGCAATCCTCACTAGTTGTTATTCATCTTTTTCATATTTGCTTCTATTTCCCGGCGTAATGTGTTCTTTGGTCTCTCCCTTTCCCGCTACTTTCCCAGGTTCCAAATTAGGGATCGCCTTGTAATGCACATCAGTGATTGCCTCAATGTATGTCCTATCCACTTCCAATATCTTTTCCTAATTTACCTCTTCGGCTGGAATCTGATTTGACCTCTCCCATAAAACACTGTTGCTGATAGTATCCAGCCAGTGAATGTTAAGTATTTTGAGTTTCATCAAAGCTGCTTTCTAAAATTTACCCGTTAAAGTAAACTTCATTACTAACTGAAGTCATTCAATGAATGATAAATTTTTTATTCTAAGTTTGAATCATCTTAGCAATTTGAACATTTAACTATAAAACGTAAATTCATGTAACAGCAGCTTGCTTGAACTTTTTGAGCTCACTATTAGATCATTGTATCAAACGATATTTGATTAAATTCATTATTCATGGTATTTTGACTAGTAATCGCTGTAGAATACTTGGATACTAACTAATATGAATAATTTCATGGGTTTTAATTTACTGCGTCAAGGTTCCTTTTCATCATGAACCGATTGCTTCGTTATAGTATGGGTATCCATGATCCTGCACTCTGGACCAGAACCCAAGACTTAAAGTTGCGCGCGCGAACGCTTAACCTTTAGACGATTGAGACGGAATCTGACGATGTTAGTGTTTAACTTCAATCGATCCGTGGTCCTGTGCAACCCTTCATCCATTGTTTGAAGTGGATAGCTCTCTCACACTGAAAACGGATTGAACTACACTGATCACGACTTCTCACTAGAACTCTATTAAAGCTAGTCATTAGTGATCACATAATGATTAAGAGAATGGGTATTTGTGCAGATTGTACTATTTTAAACAGTAGAATTCACGAAATATCTTTTAGCCGTACTTCATTGTGCTGTTCTTCTTTTGTACTTAAAATATAATTCTCTTATTACGATCTTCTTTATTGTAAATATTTGTACTTTTTCAAAAGAATATGAGCAAAAGAATGTATTCACATGACTATTACCTTCGTTGACGAATGGTAGCCATACCCAATAGACTTCAACCATGTTAGAATTAAAACACTCATTCACCAACAATATTAGATGACAGACATGCAATATCACAACTTGACTATAGTTAGAAATATAAACTAATGTATATCTTTTCAGTGATTTGAAAATGAAATTCTATACTAGGACGGAACAGCTATCCAGTAGTTCCTGGTCGTCTAGCTGTTGTCGGTATCTGGTAACAGAATCTAACAGGTATATTTATTCATCATTAAAATTAATCAACCAGATAGTTCTGTATTCTACACTAAGACTCCTATGTCTCTGACTTTGAACAATCATACATTATTCCCTGAACTATTGAGCTTTGATAGTTAAAACCTCAATTAATGGGTATGAAGGTATGATTCATATTCATGACTGTAAGTGATCAGTCTCTGTTTGGATGTATGTTTAAACATTTCATATCAGTAGTATAAAATGATTAGGTTGATATATTATGTTTATTAAAACAAGATCTCAAGTTATTCGTGTGAACTTGGTGTTTTATAGTTTATCAATGGAAAAAAAGGTACCTTCAATGTTCCCACAGTATCTAATCTCATATTTGGATCTAAACAATTACACATTAAAATTTGACATCAGTTAGGATCAGTCAATTGTGTCAGACTTCATTGTACCTTCGTTTCCACACCAATCATTCACTGTTCTCTTTCTCTTCTTTTTAATCTTCGTAATCTGCTGCCTCTAGAATGATTGGCCGGCCTGAGAAAACAATTCGAAGCTTAGCTGCGTGGAATGTTTTATCTAGCGATTTTGAAATCCGTTTATATAGGATTTCAGCAGCCGTGTCTCCTTCAAATTCCATATTCATAAACAAAGTTTTCTATCGTACTGTCGAAGATTTTTCCTGATGAAGTTTAGGTGTTGAGTTATTATCGACGAATCTAGGTGGATAAACATCTCTGATGAGGGTCTGTTGAAGATGAAATAGTTCTTCAGCTTTAGTGTCATTGGAACAGATTCGCTTGGTCCTAGAGGATAAAGAGTGGGTTAAGTTCCTCTTTCGACTCAACGGGACCCAACTATGGAAATTCGTGCCCATTCGAGGTAGGTTTTTTCTATACATAGATCTCTGTAAAAAATCATCGGGCATTCTTTTTAAACGGACATCAAGATAATGAAATTCATGGTTTGCCTCTGCTTCTAAGGTAAATTGAAGTGATGGGTGAAAATTATTGAAAATATTCAAGATTTCATTGAGGTCCATGTCTTCTTCACAAATAATGAAAGTAACATCCGTATATCTCTTATATAAATGAAATCTCTTAATTATCGGCCAAAGTACCGAATTTTCTAGATTGGTCACATCAATGTGTATCTATAAATTTACTTGCTCATGTGGGGCAAGTTACATAGGCCGCGCACAGCGATCACTTTCCAAAAGCATCTCGGAACACTAACCGGCTTAGTTCTTAAGAAGAGAATGTAAAAAGATCACTGGTTCCATACAGGAGTATTCAATACACTGTGGACCCATCGCCCCAAAAAAATCTTTTAAAGTAATCTACAGAGTTTTCTTGTTTTTCCTTTCTTGAATCTTGTCTAGTGTTTCGTTAGAGATCCATTCCTCATGATGGTGTTACTTAGGACACAGTACCTCCTGACATGTTATAGTTGATGCATTTTTGATACATTTCCATTTATCCTCCATATTAGTTTCTTCTTCTTTCAGTGGACCCCATAAGGCTTGTAACCTGTTGTTGAGAATTATCTAGAATTTGGTTGCGTTTGTTAGTATTTCGAAAGAAAGTTGTATTGAAACTATGTAATTCATATTCTCCCAGTTGTCTATTATTTCCTTAGTTTCAGTTTCATCTTTATTTTTAGTAATGGCATTTTAAAATGACTTTGATTCACCTTTTCAATCTTTCATCATTCAATTCACTTTGTTTCTGTTTCAAACAATCCTCATAATCAAAAATAATGGCATATTATTTTGAATAATCATGTATCTTTTATACAGTCAAATATTTTATGTTTTAATCCACTTAGTATTGTTTGTTTGAATCTTCCCATTGATGTTATTATTATTCAGTAGATTCTTGTGTAACATCTGAATTTGAACCCAATGAGATAGCATGAAAAGACTTCTCTTTTAACCTTCCATACATACATGAATCCCTTCTTTTGTCAATAAAGCATTTTTTTCACAGTTGAAATCATGAGTCAATTGAAGCTAGACCACCATCGAAAACCTGGAAGCACTGGACGGCCGTTTCGTCCTATTATGGGACACCTCAGCAGTGCGCATTCACGATCCCGTACTCGCGAGACTCGAACCCAGGACCTACCAGTATAGGGCCGAAGCCCTTAACCGATAGACCATTTATCAATAAAAAATTTTATTTAAAATTACTTTTAATGAAACACTCATGTAGAGGATAATTGTTAAGAAATCAAAATAAACAACTTCAAACAATTCAAACAAAATGTTCCTCTATCTGATTCTTCTTTATTGCCATTCAGCATCAAGCAAGGCTAATAGAAGTCGTTGATAATCACCAGATGCTTCATTACGTATCCAATCTTCAAGTGAACTATCTTGACTTTTTTGAAATTCTATACAAATACTTCCTAAATCTAACTAAAAATAAGACGAAATGATAAAAATAAAGAAAATGAGTATACTAGAAAAAGAAGTCACTTGGCAAAGCTCCGTATTTATTTGGAAAATTTGAATTATATGTTTTCGCCTCAAGAAACGCTTACTTGACTTAAAGCTTACATTTCCCACTCACTCTGAAATACTTGACTGTCATTGGTTGATGGATTCTTTTGTTATGCCATTTTGTGGCTTTCCTAAGGGTGTTTCTGTCATGGTATAAATAAGCTTGGTTTGTGTACTTAGTGACCCATTGTATTTTACTGGGTGCTTGTAGAATACACTATCTACAGCTTATGTAGACTTCTTGATCTAGTTAGCACGACCGGGGATAACGGACTAGAATAGCCTAATCTAATCTCAGATTCAATGCAATACATTTTGTCTAATTATATCTTTTAGACTACTTATTATTAATCAGTAGATTCCTGTGCAACATCTGAATTTGAACCCAATGAGATACCATGAAAAGACTTCTCTTTTAACCTTCCATATATACATGAATCCCTTCTTTTGTCAATAAAGCATTTATCAATAAACGTTTATATTTCAAACTATTCTTAATCAAAAACACTCATGTAGAGGATAATCGTTAAGGAATAAAAATAAACAACTTTCATTCAAACAATTCAAACAAAATGTTCCTCTATCTGATTCTTCTTTATTGCCATTCAGCACCAATCAAGGCTAATAGAAGTCGTTGATAATCACCAGATGTTTCATTACGTATCCAATCTTCAAGTGAACTATCTTGGCTTTTTTGAAATTCTATACAAATACTTCCTAAATCTAACTAAAAAGAGGCAAAATGTTGCAAAATGATGGATAAAAAGAGAGAGTGTTGATTAAAAATGTAAAATAAAACTCAAGGCTATTTGGTTGAAGACGTCAGATCCCCAGAACTCACTTGGGAAAGGTCCTAATTTGTTTTGGAAAATTTGAATTATATGTTTTCGCCTCAAGAAACGCTTAGTTGACCTAAAGCTTACATTTCCCACCCACTCTGAAATCCTTGACTGTCATTGGTTGATGGATTCTTTTGTTATGCCATTTTGTGGCTTTCTCAAGGGTCTTCCTGTCATGGTATAAATAAGCTTGGTTTGTGTACTTAGTGACCCATTGTATTTTCTGGGTGCTTGTAGAATACACTATCTACAGCTTATGTAGACTTCTTGATCTAGTTAGCACGACCGGGGATAACGGATTAGAATAGCCTATCGTGTCACTCTGTCTTTGACCTACATTCCGAGTAAGGTGAAGTCGTAAATAGCATCAAGCATATCAGTTTGACCAATCAGTGTTAAGTTACCACTCAAGGCTACTTGGTCACGTGTAATTATTTGACCCTGAGACTGTAATTCTATTCGCTAAATAATCACAAGTACGTTTAATCAATCAATGTCAAGTCAAATAAATTCAAGGTCAATTTTAAACGAAAAAGTGTTTAGTCATCTGTATGAATCAGTTAGTTTGATGTACATACTTATGCCATTACATACCATTTCATTAATAGTAAATTACATTCCATTAAACTGGTCATAGTTTTATCATATTCATATCCTATTACAAGTTATTCATTCTACATAGATAATCTAATATCGCAGAGGCAGTAATTAGTTTACAAATAAGTCAATTACTCAAAATATATTTCACATTAACGTCTATTGACTGTAGGTTGACCTACATATCAGGTTGCTAGAAGTTTCCTTGAAATTTCGAAGCTTTCTCAATTTATCTTTTCAGTTGAATTCTATATCTATATGTAGATCTATATAAAATGGTTATAGAATACTCTTTGATCAATCATTAACTAACTTGGTTTACTGTTAACCATTTCATTCATTTTATTGAGATCATAAATTAAACTTTATATTTGATAATATAAGCCTGACTTGTTTTATGATCGATTGTGTTAACCACGTATTGATGACTGTAGTCAGTCAGTCAGTCAGTCAGTAATGATGAAATTTAATTCATTTTTATCTAAGAGTATTTGTCTTAGGAGGTACTGTTTCTTTCATTCTAATTGTTCGTTAAAGGTGTTTATTAGCCATTGTTTTGTGAGGACGGCTCCCGGAGAACTCAAATAAGAATATTACAGAGTCTCAACGTGTAGTTTCCCGGTTGGAAAAATGCTGAAATCCACTATACGTGGATTGAATGATTGTAATGATGATTTCGTTTCTATTAACAACTATAAACACCTCAGTGTTTTGTATCGTATTTGGTTCCTGGAAGTTTCCTAGAAATTTGCTAGCTTTCTCGATTCATCTTCTCAATTGAATTCTATATCTATAACAGTCTGTAGCCCAATATACCTTCCCGATCAAATGGTCAGTTGAGGAGTTAGCGCAAAGCATATAGTCTATCAGTATCAGATTCGAACACCGTCCATCACAACAGATATAAAGTTATATTTACTGCATTAAACTCTAATACTTACCTCACATCTTGTTACAATAATACGCATTAGTGTACAATCATCGGTACCGATACCTTTCATTGCTTTCACCAATAAATCAGAATAAGCTTTCGGACGATTTAAACAAGTATTTACTATATTCAAGAGAAATATTAAAGACGTAAATGAACAATTGACATGGACAACAATAAAAGGGTGATTGTAATTCATTCTCTGAAATATCATTCGATTCCTTCGGAATACTAGTTGGGAGCTAGTTAGCTTGAAACGAATAATGGACAATTTTTATTGTATATTTGCAAGAAGGATTTGAATGTGATGAGCTTGGTCTGGTGTGTTCTTACTAGTATGAGGGCTAATATCACTTCCCAGTTGCCACACCGTGGAATGGTATTTCTTGTGGGACTTGAAAAGGAGGTTGTATTATTATTGGTCATGGGAGCGTGACTGCAGAGTCCAAGGGACAACTGCTTGAGGCCAGTCATACACGGCCTTTTGGAGGGGATTTTTGACGCGTTTGCTCAGTTTTTCAAAGGGCCTTACCGCCGGATACGGAAATCCGTGATGTAAGGTGAGGCGTGACATTTTTAGGGTCGACCTTTTCTAACCCCTTCCTTCCTTGTGAGAAGGCAGCATCGCTTTAGATGCTGGTTGTCCGAGGGAAACACCTTACTGCTGTCACACCTCTCTACAGTCAACAGTACGACCTCGCCCTCAGACCTCAATCTTCTTAGCGTCATAACGTCAGGTTTTCCACTTGCGAAAGGTGTTACGTACCACTTATGTCTTTCAATATTAGTAGCCTACACTACTATTAATCAATAATTCCAGTGAATACAAATACTAGGAAGATATCTATGACATATCATATAACTATCAAACTATTTATCTATCAGTCAGGAAATGAAAAGCAATCACTAATATCTGGCTTCAATGATCTTTAGAATACAAAGAGAGTGGAGAGACTTGTCTTTCTGGATATCTTCATATAAGGCTACAAGTCTATAGTCGCTACCAGGAACCTCTACTCACTCCTTTTCGAATGAAACAGGTCATCATAAGTGAATTAACAAATAAATAAGTTAACAGACAAACAAATGTTGGAATATAAGCTTGTTTGTTAAGTATATTGGTTGAAAACTATAAATTCAATAATTCAGTCGTCTTGCTACCACTGTTTTGATAAACTAAATCACCACTAAACGGTAAATAATTTTGGCCGGCTCAGTGCTCTAGAGGCTAGGTGCTCGAGTGCGAGACTGATAGGTCCCTGGTTTGAATCTCGCGAGGTGGGATCGTGGATACGTAATGCTGAGCGGTCTCACAATAGGACGAAACGATCGTCCACTGCCTCCAGGTATTCCATGGTGGTCTAGCTTCAACTAGTTCATAATCTCAACTATTGAAATTATATTAAAAAGCAGTTGAATCGTTCTACGGACGGCACTTATTGTTAATTGAATGGACAAACTACTGGAACACAACTTAATAATTCAATAATGCTCTATTTGCTCCATGACTTAAAGTTGATATGTGAAACCGATACTGTATACTGTTTCGGTTAACCAATCTAGAATGAAAAAAGTTGTCTAGTCCTGTATAATTTTCCATGATACGTTAACTGATATTATTTTGCAATGAAAATTACATTATAAAAAACAAAGTGATCAACATTTATAGATTACAGCCAATTCAAGCAGATTTTCGGATAATAAATTTTGAATTAAGTCGATGTGTTAAATTGTGTCGCATCCTTGAAATGGATTTCAAATCCCTGAATTCATAGTTGCTATCAAATGCCCTGATACGGCCGACGGTGGTGAGAGTTAGCTCGCCCTCTTCAAATGCTCTCACATGAACACGTGTATACAGCCACTGACATGATAGTCCTACTCATTGCCTTCTACTGGTGGAGGTGTTGTTTAAGAAATTGAGAGAATGAAAAGCGAATATCCAGTGCTTTAACCGATTTGCTAGATACGGAGGATTCACCTAGAGGAGTTAGAAAACCTTGATTCCAAAACAATGGTACACATGGAAACCAGGAACCTGAGGAAACAAATGTCAAGTGAACCAATTGTCGGTCACCAGCTACCATGGGACTACATCTCCTGACGTTGCTCCAATGTCCGGTTTTGGTACCCAGGCAGTATCACAGCCACCAAACAAATCAAATGACTTGTGTGGCGCATATGTATTCGGTGCCCCTTTGTACCAATATTTATGCGTTCAAATAAATAAATAAATAAATTCATGGTTTAAAGTTGAATGACTGTGATTTTGAGTCAAAACGATATTTTCTTTTCAAATATACTTATTCAACAAGACAGTCATAGATGATAGATAATGCTCTATTTGCTCCATGACTTAAAGTTGATATGTGAAACCGATACTGTATACTGTTTCGGTTAACCAATCTAGAATGAAAAAAGTTGTCTAGTCCTGTATAATTTTCCATGATACGTTAACTGATATTATTTTGCAATGAAAATTACATTATAAAAAACAAAGTGATCAACATTTATAGATTACAGCCAATTCAAACAGATTTTCGGATAAGAAATGTTGAATTAAATCGATGTGTTAAATTGTGTCGCATCCTTGAAATGGATTTCAAATCCCTAAATTCATGGTTACCCTCAAATGCCCAGGTAGGGTCGAGGGTAGGGAAAGTCAACTCTCCCTTTCCAAATGCTCTCACATGGCCACGCGTATACAGCCAATGACACTGAAGTCCTACACACTGTTTGTGAAATTGAGAGAACGAAATGCGTATGTCCGGTGCTTTAACCAGGTTTGGAGGATCCATCTAGGGTAGTTGGAAAACCCTCATTTCAAACCAATGGTACACATGGACTCCAGGATCCTAAGGAAATAAATGGCGAATGAACCGATTATTGGTCACCTGCTAACATGGGACTACATCTCGTGACGTTGCTTTACTGTCTTATGGATTAGACCTTTAGGTCGAAGGCTCCGGATGTGACCCTTTAAGAAAACCACGTGCTTCGGTTTGTGCACCCAGGCAGCATCACAGCCACCACACAAATCAAGTGATTTGAGTTGCACATATATATTTGGTGCCCCTATGTACCAATATTCAAATAAATAAAATTATGGTTTAAAGTTGAATGACTGTGATTTTGAGTCAAAACGATATTTTCCTTTCAAATACACTTATTCAACAAGACAGACATAGATGATTAGACCGTTTTCTATGAACTATAATCGTTTAAATTCTATTATACACAAATATTATACACTGTTTGCGATGATTAAAGTATAAGTCATGGATCCCACTGCTAGACACAATCCATCTTTGGTTATAATGCTTGTGAATTAAGGCAATATCGAGGCAATCCGCACAAGATGCACATAGACCATCAAGAGACTGATCAATTGCAGTCCTAAACATCAGTAGGAAGATTCTAACGACCAATACAACAGTGAATTAAGCTTCACCCGACTGTACAAGATAGTAGCTGTCTGGAATCAGTAGCTTGATGGATAAAGTGATGGCCTTTGCAGAGCAAGGTACTGGATTCAAGTTTCGAAGTAATCATCAACCATGGGATGCAGGTACATCCAACCGATAAGTTCCTAATGGAATGAAACGAGCATCCTGGATTTCACTGCCAGCAACCATCATCTCTGTTTGTTATGAATTACTGTTACAAATAAATGATTGGACAGATTTATCGAATTGAACACCAGATTATAACGATTATCTTATGGATTAATAAAAGAGCACTTTCAAAATCTCCAGATGTCTCAGATGTTAATGAATCGACCAATGTTTTACCATATTTCTATAAATAAAATGAAAAGGAAAAACTCTACTAATATCATTTAAAATATCAGCTGAATAATACTAAAAACACAATAGATGCCTATAAATTTGTAGCGAAACTCATTTTTCAATGCCCCGAACGCTGTGGTACGGCCGAGAGTGGTGAGAGTTCGCTCTCCCTCTCGAAATACTCTCACATGGTCACGCGTATACAGCCTCTGCCACGGTAGTCCTACTCATCAGATACGACTGTACCGCTGATGAATTGTAGACAATTTATTTATTTCTAACTACAAATTCAACCATGTAGACCGATATGTCATTTGTTGCTACTTGTGCGTTTGTTAGAAAGTCAAACATCTAGGAGGGAATTTCTAAGACACGGGAAGTTCACCTAGGAGAGTTGGAAAACCCTCACTCCACACCAATGGTGCACGTGGGCTGGCTCCAGTATCCTGAGGGAACAAATGGAGTATGAATCATTCGTTAGTCACCGGCTACCATGGGACTGAATCTCCTGACGTTGCTCAACTGCCTTGTGGATAAGACCTTAAGGTCAAAGGTTCCAGATGTGGTCACCTAAGAAAACCACCTGTTTCGGTTAGGGTACCCGGGTAGTATCACAGCCCTCACACAAATCAAATGAGATTTGCATGGCGCATATGTATCCGTTTCCCCTTTGCAGCAATATTTCAACTAAGGATTTCATTTCAAGCTGTAACTTTCACTTAACCTGTCTTCTCTCCATCTGACAAGCTGGGATGTCCTACAGTAACTTAGTCGTAAAAGATCATATGTAGATATCTTTAGTTGATTACAATGAAATTAATTATTTTTTTGAGTACAGCTATTCATTTAATAAATGAATCTTTAAGATCATGATGATGACAGTAAGCCCTAATAGCATCTTATCACATAGTTCAGTAAAAGGATCCGTTGTCGAGTGTTTCATTCCTGAAAATGTATAATAAAAGATAGAGAGTACTGACAAGTTGCTTCATATTGTTTAAGGAATTTTCAGTGGCACTCATCTAATTGCTAAGCTATTGAGTCACACTCTACCAGAACTAAGTTCGATCACATACATGTTTTTTGTTGTGCAGGATCGAAGATTCTTAAGCGGATGAAACAGTGTGCTTTGGTTTTCAATCTCTTCCCAGATAATTGCAACTAGTGATATAAACAATAAACAATTTCTCAGAAAAAGAGGTTTCGTTGATATTGTAGTAATTTAATAGTTGAGTTCATGGGTCAATTTGAGCTAGACCACCATGGAGAACCTGGAAGCACTGAATGGCTGTTTCTTCTTGGTATGGCACTCCTTAGCAGTGCGCAAGTAACCTAATACTATCTATCAAGATTGTACTTTACTATTATGCTTTATACAAACATACTAATACTTTATTAGTCAAAAAGGGAGATGTGAAAGGTATCATAAAATCACATCACTTGACACTATGATCGTGTAAGCTTTGCGCACGATGACGAAGATCTTGGGTTCGAATCTCACGAGCAGGATCGTGAATGCGCCTCGCTGACGACACCATACTAGGAAGAAACGGCCATCCAATGCTTCTAGGTTTTCCATGAAGGCCTAGTTCTAATTGACCCATGAACTCAACTATTAAATTACTACAATATCAACGAAACCTCTTTTTCTGAGAAATTGTTTATTGTTTATATCACTAGTTGCAATTATCTGGGAAGAGATTGAAAACCAAAGCACACTGTTTCATCCGCTTAAGAATCTTCGATCCTGCACAACAAAAAACATGTATGTGATCGAACTTAGTTCTGGTAGAGTGTGACTCAATAGCTTAGCAATTAGATGAGTGCCACTGAAAATTCCTTAAACAATATGAAGCAACTTGTCAGTACTCTCTATCTTTTATTATACATTTTCAGGAATGGAATAATCTACACTGGGACATGAGTTCAGTCGCGAACACTTCGAAATATTAGACAGAGAGAACAAAAAGAAAGCCAGGGAATTTTTAGAAGCCCGGGATTCCGACCAAGTACCAATTGATAGACATATCGGAATAGATCACATCTATTAAAAACTACGTAAAACGTCAGAGCTCAAGTTAAAAGAGAAAACAACCAAAATTAACATGCGTACTATAATAGCACAGTTTCAGATACTAGCCATTTGAATTCCAAGTCAACAAGACAGTCTTCTAGTCAATTTTGAAGAAATCCCAATGGTTCACTTCTCCTTCAGATAAGTATTGATGATGCCATTCAGAAGAACAATGAAAATTTCACAGTTCAATAATGAAATCACTTTCATTACCTTATAAATATGAGTAATTAAATATGTTACGGGTGAATGCATAATGTTGCACAGAAATAAGACGAACCTTTTCAAACAGATGAGAAACTTCTTGTAAATGCTAAACACTTCGTTTGGGCACGATCCTAATGATAACATCTTCATCAGTTCCTAAATGCCTACAGGAATCATTAGAAAGCAGAGATTGATATTCAATAAAATACATAGACATAGAATGCAATAATTTATCTACGAAGAAAAATTGTTCTCACGATTACATTTCTGTTCAGTTCTTTTATGTAATTAGTTCTATGGGTAAATTAAGTCAATAACTCTCTCCTCTTTTATCCATTCATACGAGATTTAAGATGTCATCAAACTTCAGTTAGTGTACTAAAAGATTGGATAAGTAGTTAAAAGTACCTACATTTCCCTACCCCAAATCATCCCAATATGTTCAATTACAGTTCTAAACATCAACAGGAAGATTCGAACAACCAATATAACAATGAATGAAACTTCACGTTACTGCAGAATCTAGTGGCTATTAGGATTTAGTAGCTAAGTGGATAACGTAATGACGTTTACAGCGAACAGTATTGGGTTCTAGTCCCGGATTGGACATCAACACTGAGGTGCAGTCACATTCAGCTGAAGAGTTCCAGATAGGACCAATTAGTTTGTGCTGATTGCCTCAGTAAGAAATGGTTAACCAATAAGATTATTCTGACTGTGTAACAGAAGGAATAAAACCAATCAATTAACTAAAATGGTAATTTTCACTTCAGTCATTTCTTTTCAAGTTCATGTATTTAGAATATTCGTTTAGGAATCGACTTTCACAAATAAAAACAAACTTTCTTGATCGAAATCATAAATCGATCAATGTTTGACCACTATCAAAAACCTGGAAGCACTGGACTAGTATGCGGACTGCTGAGGAGTCCCATACTAGGACGAAACGGCCAACCAGTACTTCAAGGTTCTCGATGGTGGTCTTATATTGATTGACTCATGATCTATATCGAAAACCTCGACGATCTCTACAACTTTATACTGAAAGTGTTTTTTTGATAATTGAAAAGAACAAACAAGATACTTACGCTTCACCAGCATCCCATAATGTTTCAACATCTTGTTCAGCATGTTTTATATAAAACTACACTTTGCAGATGTGTTTAATTAATTTTTGTTGTTGACATCTTTAAGTAGATTTTCATCACGTTTAGCTTGAAGCAATGCAACGATTAGCTATTGCAAGTGGCCGCTCAAATCACTTTGAATATCAGTTTCTAATGTTCTACGAGGGTCTATTTTAAAAGTATAATTTCAGTTGTTTTGTTTTTGAAAAAGTCATCAGAATACTGTCATAACAACAATAAACTATAGATTTATGTGAAAACAAACGTTATTGTTTATTTATCTTCTCAACAGATTAAGTTATTCAATAACTTAAAATAGAACAAGTGGGATGACTGTTATTCATCAAGTTTAGTATTATTTTCACAGATTAAGTCACGAACTGATCTTATGTAGATCCTTAATGAGGGCTTGAAAGAACTGGACTCTCGTTTCTTCTCAGTATGAGATCTCTCAAGAAGTCCACAATCCTATACGTGGTAATCGAAAACAGGACCACCGGTCTTGTGTGAACGCTAAACCTCTAGACCAATGGGTCGGTATCCAACGATATTCATATATAATTTCAATCTATTCACGGTTATGAGCAACCCTTATTTTCATTGGCCTTATAGCAACTATATATACCTAACATTGTAATCACGAAGTGGTTCTTGCTCATAACTTAGGGTAGTGAGTTTAAGCCTTAGTGATGTATTTTAGATAGTCATATATTAAAGTGCACTACTGAGGAGTCCCATACTAGGATGAAAGCAAAATCCAGTCCTTCCTGATTTTCAATGGTGCTCCAACTTAGATCGACTCATGAATTTAACTGTTAAACATACTACAATTTTCACAAATACTCATTCTCATAATAATCACGTGCTCACTAGTGACTAGCATCAAGATGGATATACTGGAGTTCTAGTTAGAAGATGTGATCAGTTGGGTCTAATCCGTATTGCGTGTGAGAGAGCTATTCATCTCTGTCAGTGGATGAAGCGTCACTAAAGACCAAGGATCGATTGAAGTTGGACATTAACAATGTTGGATTCCAGTTCAGTAGTCTACAAGTGAAGCACTAGAGCAGTATTGTGGATGTGTACCGCTGAGGGGTCCAATACTATGACAAAATATCCGTCCAATGCTTTCAGGTTTCCAGTGTTGGTCTAGCTCAGATAGACTCGTAAATTCAACTGTGAAAACACATATTAAATGAAATCAACTAAGCAGTATTACATAGTTATCAACTGTATTTTAAGTGAGATCAAGTCGGTAAGAATATTATTGATCACTGTACTTATTTATTCATTACGATAGATCAGACAGTCAATCAGCTACAATGTAGGACTAGGCACACATATGCATCGGTCCAAGTTGCCATACCACATTACAATAGATCAATTCATTTGTTACCAATGAAAACATTCAATATTTTATGTTAATGAAACAGTTTGACTTACCACTGACTCCATAACTCTTTAAAACTGAAAAACAATCAAAATACAAAAAGACCGATTAAATGATTGTTGTCCCATTCAAGACATACGGTTTATCTCATTCTTCTGTAGAATTCAACAGTTTAATTTATGCCTAACTAAGAGTTGATGTTGTTCATTGATAATCAGATTTAATTGTCATCGCTTTAAATACTGGAGATCTATGCATAAGACTATTGAATGTAGATAACAATTTGAGTTCAAGGAGTCTTTTAAATCAACAGGTTCATCAGTCTAGTCTTGAATATCTATCAAAAAAACAGAAGAATTCCTAGTCACATGTTAATAACAATTATCATACTCCAACTATATATAAATGTCAAGAAAGTCTAAATCACTGACGTGATCACCATATTATGTTGAGTTTTTGTTCACTTTGATCTAACTAAACTATATTCGAACTTCAATAGTTAACAGTTAGAACATGAAAAGAGTGATTTGTAGTATCTGAGTTTGATACTGATAAATAATCTCCAAATACACGATCCCAACCGACTACTCAAGTGAAAAGACTCAGAGTGGGAAGGAAGTATATAAATATATATCCCTCAGAGAATTAAGCCATTAACGATCCACGTCTCATCTGTTAGATATGAAAGTTATTTCTTGGTCAATCACGTGAGTTTATCATTTAACAATTACTGATTGGTACAATGTATTCAATCATCATTCAAAGACAAGTCGCTGTTGTTTCAAACACTTAATTTTGGTGATTTAGTATGTAACTTTCAACTTTCTTGCATTACATGGTATTAGGAAATCATTGAAAAGATTTTGAAATGGTAAAGTTTTGTTCTCTCAGCTGAATGGTGGAAGTTCGACCTGAAGTTTGTACTGATGATGTCATTTAGGAGAACGATCGAAGATCCATAACCAAACCATCCAACTAAGAGATTCTACTAATCGTTCACTGTATAAAATGTTCCTTGTCATTTCTAGACCTCCAGAGATTTTGATAAGAGATACCATTGAGAATGCTCCAATAAAACGTTTATACCTTATAGTTGAAAGCGTGAGTCAATTGAAGCTAGACCACCTAGGAAAACCTGAAAGCATTGGACGGCCGTTTCGTCCTATCGTGGGACTTCTCAGCTAAGTTCGTATAATACACTAAATAGACTACTTAAATTTACTTACCAGATAGATAAGCTTGTTTAATATTTTCAATTTCAATATTGCTTGCTGTGCATAAAACTTCAATAATTGTCTCTTCATCAGTTCCTCCACCTTTCATTGCTTTGTATAATGCACGTTCATCAACTTCATATAAATTAGTTAAAAGCATTTTAAGTAGTTTTCTAAAGTGACCACTTTTTACTCTGCACAATTCATCCACTAGATCCTATTTCAAAGAAAAGAAAAGCTTTTTAAAACAAAATAGTTAAAGATGTTTTATACAAACAATTGAAACACTGATCAACTGTAGTGATTGAAGCAAACAGTATTGTGTTCGAGTTTCAGGGTGAAAATCAACTCTAAGATGCATGTACCTTGAGCTGACGAGTCCCAATTAAGACGAAACCCGTGTCCTGTGTTCCAATGCTAGCCACTATTCATCTTTGCTTAAAATGCTTTTGAATTAAGAAGATATCGAGGCAATAAGCACAGTATGCACATATGCGAATAAGAGATAGACTGATCAATTTTAGACCTAAGCATTAATGGGAAGATTCAAGTAAACAATACCAAGTGAACTACAACAAGATACTAATTCGATAAGAAGAGACTAGTTTTATGAAGACTGTAGTATTTTCACAGTTGAATTCACAAGCCGATCTTAACTAGACTATCATTGAAAACCTGGAAGCACTAGAGCCTCTAGTGATAGCAACTTAGTCGGCTCAAATCTTGCATCTCAATGATGGTTCAACTTAGATCGACTCGTGAATTTAATTCATTTGGGACTCGAAAGACAAATGTATTTGAATCTAAATGTGTTGATTTCCTAGTAAAACTTGAACCCTCAAACGCTACTCAAGTCATCAACTGAGCTGCTGAGTTCAGATAGGCATTGCGTTGTGCAACGTGATTGAATGTTTGATTCGTCATTCGAAAGGATTTGTATTTTCGTATCATTGATGTTAAGGACCGGAACTGATGAATCTCTTTAGGTGTTAGGAGTTTCAAACGAAAAGTAATGGGTTTGAGTTCTGGTATGAATATTAACACCGGAATGAATGTTTATTCAGCTGACAGGTTCAAAATAAAACGAAACCTAAGTCCTGAATTCCACTGCTAGCCACTGTCCAACTTTAATAAAAACTGGTGATTATATGGCCGTAATTAGGTAAGGACTATCCTTAACATCAATAATAGAAAGATATAAATCTCTTTGAATGATGAAGAATATGTTTCAAACCGGTTAAAACTCACCAGCAAGGGATGTCTCTAAAACCAAGAAAACAAATGCCGCTAAGTTCCTAGAATCTAAGTCGCTCACTGCCAAAATCAAGTACAGTACTATATAACTATTAGAAACACTAAGGTTCTTTGATTATAGGTTCTAATCATAATTAAAATTATCAATTTCCGTAAGATCGTAGATAAATTGAGTGGTTGTGCTCCAATCAATCCGAAGGTTATGTTCATGGGTTTATTTTTCCAGTCTTCAACAACTTAACAATAAATAGTATTGGGTAACTTAATTGGTAGCTACACTGCAATTTGATTGATCTTGCAATATAAATTTATGTTAGTACAGTCACACCTAGTTGATGAGTTCCAAATACACTCTTACATAAAGCACTGATACTCTGAATGAACGGGCAAATGCTCGACAATGATAGGTATGGCTCTCTGATTGAACACGGAATAAAAGATGATTATTCTAGCATAGTATTACGAAAGCAGAAATACATTTATATTAATAGGATGATGAACTATTGACTACATGCATAAAATTGATGGGGGGGGGGTCTTTAAACGCTTAATTAGTTACCTTATCAAATGAAATTTATATTGCATAGGACAATAACTATAGTAACTAAGGTATTGGCTCGTCCACGTTGGCTTTCGAAAAATGGATCGTTTGATTGAGCCATCTTCTCGTCTACTTAGAAACATATCGAGGTAGGGCGGCCGGTTGTTCTTCTCCTCTTTGCATGAGAGACTGATGTGCTTTTGATTAGTGTTAAGTTTATTCAATAAACTGAACTTTATCAGTACATAATAGTAGAAAATCTTTAAGTATTTTTAAAGGGACAGGTAATTTAAGAATGTTTAAAGATATATAGTCACATAATATGTGTTTCATGGCCCCAAAAATGACCTGGTACTGCCGGGAGTGGGGAAAGTCCGCTCTCCCTCTCGAAATGCACTTACCTGGCCACGCGTATACAGCCTCTGCCACACAAGTCCTACTCACTACCTTCTCGTGGCGGGGATGTTGTTCACGAAAGTGAGAGGACGAAAGACGAATGTCCGTCGCCTTCATCGGATTGGTGGATGTGGAGTGTTCACCTAGGGGAGTTGGAAAACGCTCATTCCAAACCAATGGTGCACATGGGCTGACTCCAGTATCCTGATGGAACGAATAGCGTATGAACCCGTTGTTGGTCACCGGCTACCATGGGACTGCATCTCCTCACGATGCTTCACCGCCTTGTGGATCGGACCTTTAGGTCAAATGCTCCAGGTGTGGCCCCTTTAAGAGAACCACCTGTGTCGGTTTGGGCACCTGGGCAGTATCACAGCCATCACACAAATCGCATGAGATTTGTGTGGCGCATATGTATCTGGTACCCGTTTGTACCAATATTTACGTGTATAAATAAATAAAAAATAAATGTGTTTCATGCAAAGAGGAGAAGAACGATCAGCTGCCTTTCCTGGATATACTTCTAAGTAGACGAGAAGATGGGTCAATCAAACGATCCATTTTTCTAAAACTAACTTGGATGGGCCAATACTTTAGTTACTATAGGTTAATTAATTGTTTAAACTTTTGTCAATGAAATGCTTAACTGATCAAAGATCTTGTCTCAAATCTATAACAATCTGAACAGAGAATTAAAATCAAAACAGAAAACAAAACAAAAGATCTTTCCTAAGTTACTCCATCCTTTCACTGCTTCATAAAGTTCTTCAGCATCCTTTTTAGGATCATTATATAAATCAAATTTTAATGTCGGATAATAAGTTTCACCATTTGAACCAACTAATTGAGATTTTTCTCTTCCCATGATTATTTGTATAAATAGACTACTGAATATGAGAAGCAAAAAATGAAATGGGCATTAGCTAGACGTTTTGTGACTCAGTGTAAGCCACTTCTTCGTCAGAGAATTAATAAATTAATTAAACCAACCGAAGCACAAAGGAACAAACTAAGAATATAAGATGCGACCAATCGATCAATCAATCAGTTATGTGCAATTGATGGCATATAATACTCTTGCTTTATTCTTTTGTACTAATTAAACTTGAGTTAATTTAGTTTTGATTGAGATTATGAATCGATCAATATTAGAACACCATTGAAAACCTGGATACACTGAAAGGCCGTTTTGGTCAGAGTAATGGGATTCCTCAGCAGTGAGCATTTACGATTCAACACAAGGGATTCGAAAATAACCGAATTCCTATTCCATCATTACAGAGATTCGTCTATTCATAGTAATTATTTATTTATTTAAACACATAAACATTGGTAGAACGAGGCACAAATATATGTATGCACCACACTTCTTCACTTGCTTTGTGTGAGAGTTGGGCTGCTGCTGAAGTGCACAGATTAAGGCAAGTGGTTTTCTGCGAGGGCCACATCCTGAGTTTTTGATTTAAAGGTCTAATCCACAAGGTAGTCGAGCGACGTTAAGAGATGTAGTCCCATGATAGATGTCGACTATCAGTAGGTTCATACACAATTTTTTTCCTTGAGATCTTGGATCCTATGCGCATGACTAGTTTGGAATAGGGTTTTTCCAACTCCCCTATGTGGATCCTCCGTATCTACCAACCCGTTTAAAACGCCGGACAATCACTTTTCGTTCTATTAATTTCGTAAACAAGACCGTGGCGAGAAGACAGTAAGACTTCTCTGTCAGTAACTGTATACTCGTGGCCATGTGAGAGTATTTGGTAAAGGAGAGTTGACTTTCCCCACTCTCGACCGCAGTAAGGCATTTGGAGGCTATAGACTAATTAGTTATTGTGAAATATAATTTGCATCAACTTAAGAGTTGAAATAATAAGAAAAAAAAGATTTTCAAGTCAATACGGTTAATAAACAATGTTCATTTCAATGTAAAGCTTAGGTGTAAAAGTATATTAATCCATTTATTAGAATACTATTTCAAGATTGTACTCTGGAAGATTGTTTTATTAGTGTGATTGACAACTTGTAAAGATCAAGATGATCAAAATCAATTGGATGCTTTACTCATTCTCATATGAATCTTAAATGAATAATAAGTACTACTAGTGTGGTGTGATCTACTTATATCCATATAAGTAGTATATGGTGTTGATCAAACATAGAATGTATTTTGGCAGAAGACCAACGAGGGAAGAACTGAAATGAAGCGCAATCGGGAGGAAAATGCACGAACAATGGAATTAGAGAAGAAAAAGTGAAGATTGAGACTATTAGTTGATAATTTGCAAATTAACTATCCATTGTATGGTTTTCAAAATTCACTGAGATAGTTTATAATATACGCTTTAATTTGTTCGATTGTCCCCAACCACTGTTCTGTTCGCTAAACTAGTAGTTATACACTAGATCACAAACGTTTCTATAATCAGTGTGTGCCTGTGCTTATTAGAGTATATCTAAGTAATGACTGTATAATAATTTTATTACTACAAAGATTTATGCCCACAATTGATGGTGAGACCACCATGATATGTAGGTTGTTAAAGGAAGACTACTGTAAATAGACGAGAGAGTTATTCAAAATGGAATCTAACATTTATGTTTCTAGTTATAAAACTTTTTTTTCGGCTAAAATGAAACAAACGTTTCACAAGGTTACTTTGAAAGTTGGTCAGTGTGGTCGTTATACTTCAGTTATACTGATTTAGTTAGTCAGTCAGTCAGTTACAACGTAGGACTAGGCACATGTATGCACCAATCCAAGTTGTCATACCTTGTTAGCACAACATGATGAACACTGAATTCATAGAATTAGGTAATTTAGTGGTAGTAATATATAAAAGAAAGGTTATATATAAGGATATAATACTGGAAGAAAGACATATATGAAGCAATGTTATAGTTTAAGGAAAAACAGAGAGTGTACACACCTATGCCATTGTGATCGATTCTGATCCATGTCACATACAGTCTCGAAGGTCAATTTAAAAGTTTGCCAGTGTGGACCTTATATTTCATTTATACCGATTCAATCAGATGTTTATGTGTCTACCTATTTACTTCAATTATGATCACGGAGCTTTTATGATTTTTTTGAAAAATGTCGCAAGAAGTGGTGATTCAGTACTGAACTATCAATCTTAATTACTAATAGATGTTACTGCTGTTCCTATAGCTATTTGTCTATCTTTCCAAGCAATATCTGGGTCAGTCTCCTTAACAGAACTGCCTAGATGTGAACTCAGTTGTTCTTGGAACTTACATTTGGCTTGCTTGTGCTCCATTTCAATTCTAATGGGTCCTCTTATTGTAGTTTTTTCTACGTCCAGTGAGGCACAAACAAATGCGTGCTCGTAATAAAGTGTGATCAGAGTCAGATTCAATCGGAAATCTATGTGTCTCCCTACTTACTTCAATTATAATCATGGAGCTTTTGTGATTTCGGTGAAAAATACCCCGTGAAGGGGCAAGAAATACACAAATAGCAACTTACTATAATCAAGTTGCATACAAATATATAGTATTGAAGTTTCGACAAGAACTAACTGACTGATTGATTGGTTGCACTTAATATTCTTGCTTTGTAACTTGTACTGTAGTGAACAAAACACCGGTTGGGGACAATCGAATGTATTTAAGCAAAGATTACAGACTATCTCAGTAAATTCTGATTACCAAATAATGAACAGTCAATTTGCAAATCAACAACCAATTGTTTCAATCTTCACTGTTTCTTCTCTTATTCCATTGCTCATGCATTTTCCAAACGATTGCGCTTCATTTCAGTTCTTTGTTCACCGGTCTACTGCCAAAATACATTCTATGTCTGACCCACACCATATACTACTTATATGGGTATAAGAAGACCACACCACACTCGTCCCCCCTTTAAAGCATTCGACCATGCGGTGGTTCTGCTCGCCACGCCACTATCTTCTTTCACTACAGTCTGTGCCAAACACTCCGTCGGAATGTCGAGTCTGCGGCGCGCTGACCCCCATAGCTCCGTCGACCTGCCGGGGCACCAACATCCGCATCCACCCGGCACCTGGGACGTTCAACACCCGTACTCCACTGGCCTGCTGAGCCATCTACATCCGATGTCCGCCCAGCAGCCGCACGTCCCACTGCTCCTCTCCGTCGACAGCACCCGCTACAGCCAACGCCGCCCCGCCAGAACACTCCATTCGACGCCACCCCTCCGCAAAAGACTGCCCCAACTAGCACCTCAACTCCAGACCGGCAGCGGCATCCGCAGAACAGCACCCTTCCTCCTCCCGGTTGGCGGCGACACCAAATGTAGTGAACAAAACACCGGTTGGGGACAATCGAATGTATTTAAGCAAAGATTACAGACTATCTCAGTAAATTCTGATTACCAAATAATGAACAGTCAATTTGCAAATCAACAACCAATTGTTTCAATCTTCACTGTTTCTTCTCTTATTCCATTGCTCATGCATTTTCCAAACGATTGCGCTTCATTTCAGTTCTTTGTTCACCGGTCTACTGCCAAAATACATTCTATGTCTGACCTACACCATATACTACTTATATGGGTATAAGTAGACCACACCACAGTACTTCGATTAATTTAATTAATTTATTAATTCTCTGACGAAGAAGTGGCTTACACTGAGTCACAAAACGTCTAGCTAATGCCCATTTCATTTTTTGCTTCTCATATTCAGTAGTCTATTTATACAAATAATCATGGGAAGAGATAAATCTCAATTAGTTGGTCCAAATGGTGAAACTTATTATCCGATATTAAAATTTGATTTATATAATGATCCTAAAAAGGATGCTGAAGAACTTTATGAAGCAATGAAAGGATGGAGTAACTTAGAAAAGATCTTTTGTTTTGTTTTCTGTTTTGATTTTAATTCTCTGTTCAGATTGTTATAGATTTGAGACCAAATCTCTGATTAATTAAGAATTTGGTTGAAGTTAGACATTAACACCGTTTGATGCCGGCTCAGTAGTCTATAAGTTAAGCGCTCGCGCGCGAGACTGATAGGTTCTGGGTTCGAATCTCGCGAAACGGGATCGTGGCTGCGCACTGCTGAGGATTCCCTTAATAGGAAGAAATAACCGTCCAGTGCTTTCATGTTTTCGATGGTGGTCTAGCTTCAATTTAAAGCAAGGTACATCGTTTACAGTATGTGAATTTAGGATTGTCAAATCAAGAAGAATAAAATTGTTGAACTGATAAATGCAAAATGAGATGGTCATTCAAGGTAATTCATCTTTTAGCCTCAGTGTCACCATTGGGGGCGTAGAATAAAATTGATAATGTTGATATGACTCATAGAGAAAGTTCACTTGAATCTTGTTGAGTTAAAATTCAAGTTCTGTGATCAGAATGTAAATATGTGTCAGATAGGGTGAGAGAGATATGATAGACCAATTACAATTCGATCAAATTCACTTCGTATTATTTGTTTGAATCTCCCATTGATGTTTAAGACTGCAGTTGGTCAGTCTGTTTCTTATTGACATTTGTGCATACTGTGCGTTATGCCTCGATATAACCCTAATTCACAAGGGTTATGAGCAAAGATGGATAGTGGCCAGCGGTGGAATCCAGGACGCGCGTTTCGTTCTTTTTGGGACTCATCAGCTGGACTCAGTAGCTGAGTGGATAACGCGATGGCATTTGAAGCGGAAGGTACTGGGTTCGAGTCACAGAGTAAATATCAACTCTGAGACGCAGGTGCATCCAGCTAACGAGTTCCAAGCAGAACGAAACGCGCGTCCTGGAATCCACTACTGGCCACTATCCATCTTTGCTTGTAATTCGATCAAATGTTTAATGGAAGACTAAATTGTGTGAAAAATTGGTAAGACGTAATAGGGAGGGATGAATGCGAAGTGAATGAATCATGTATAGGGGGTGATTAATAATGATGATAATACAAAGACTTGTGAATTAAGATAAGAGAGACACAATTACAGTTGACTACGAAGGGTCGTAAGTACAATAGTCACATTAGATCATTTAACAGTTAAGATTACTATTGATTAATTGGTCTTGTTGTTGGCCAAGGGATAAGGTTTCTTCATCCGGATGGCTACTGCCTCAGCCTGACAAGCTTTGGCAAAAATATTACTGACTCTATAAATAGTTGAAAAGGATTGGTTTATACTAGCACTCTGGCCAGTTTCTACTAAATGGGCCAATATCGAGCTGTTTACTTTGTCCACCAAATCTTTGTTTAATCATGCTGTAAGGTGTTCGCGAGCACAAAAATGTGAATTCCTAGAATGTCGACAAATATAACTTGCTCCACAGGAGCAGTTGAACTGATAAATACAAAATTAGATGGTCATTCAAGGTAATTCATCTTTTAGCCTCAGTGTCACTATTGGGCGCGTAGAAAACACTAAATCTACGTACTATAAACGATGTACTTTGCCTTTAACCTGACCATTTTTTGTGGATTATTAATTTGGATATAAAATTGTAGAACCTGAAGAGAACTAATTAAACCTTATTGTTAATATCAATGGTTAATAAAAATCTGTTATTAATATAGAGTAGATGAAATGTAACTAGTAATACAATTTAGGACGTGTATTTTGTCCTATTTGAAAACCTTTCAACTGTACATACCGTTATCGCAGATTTGATGTTTACTTTGTGACTCGAACTCAGTATGATTGACTTCAAATACCAATGTATTGTCTATCTATTCTATACTAATTTATGTTACAATGGTTTCATCCACCTCATATAGTAGAACTGTCTTGACACTTGTATTGAAGATTGTGAGTTAGGTGTTGGTTGAGAGACAGTTGTTTTGAGTTTCAGATATTGTTCAATTGTAAATATGCTGCTCTTGCCTTGTCGATTCTAGCCGTCACATCTGTATCAGATCCGCTGTGTTCATCAATGATGCTGTCCAAATATGTAAAGGTTTTCACATCCTGTAAAGCTTCTCCGTCAAGTATGAGTTGATTAGTGCATGTTGTGTTGTATCGGAGAATCTTGCTTTTCCTTTTGTGTTTGTTGAAACCTATTGCTGATGAAGCTGCTATCTCATTTAACGCAATTCTCTATTTATTATGTTTAATTAGCAACAGTCATTCATTAGTTATCTTACAATCAATATCATACTATTTCATAATAAAAACTCTAATAAATCACAACTAATTAACCTAATTGATATGATTATTATCATCATCATCAGTGAATGCTGAAAGTTAATTCTTAATCAAGGTATTCAATGCTTTGAACTTTAAGTACATTTTGTTTTGTTTCTTGAATGAAGGTCATTTAATGTTCAATGGTGTCTGGTACTGATTAGGTTGATTGTGCAAACTAAAAATTTATACACTGAAACAACATCAAGTTAGACTGCATTATTGATCTAGATATATATGAAGAAAGAGGGAGAGAGCATTTCAACTTTGTACAGTCAACCTATACAGTATTAGTCACCATTGAACATTGAATGACCTTCATTCAAATAAACAAAACAAAATTATCAGAAGGGGTTTTGTGAAGATTTTAGTAATTTATAGAGTTGAGATTATGAGTCAATTGAAGCTAGACCACCATGGAAAACCTGGAAACACTGGACGGCCGTTTCGTCCTATTATGGGACTCCTCAGCAGTGCGTATCCACGATCCCACTCTCGCGGGATTCGAACCCAGGACCTAACAGTTTCGAGCCGAAGCCGAAACTATAGATTGTTGGAATGAATTTGATAAATGTGAATTAAAAATATAACTATTTAGTCGTTAAAATATTATTGATATAATTGACCAATCAGGTATCTGCCAAATGATAGTTGAAATATGATTAGCCATGAAATGGCTTTGGTTGATCACTGGGCAGTGATAAATATCATGTATGTCAAATTCATCCTACTGCTGATCAAATTCTACTAATCAAGTTGCAACGTGGCCACTAGTTTCAGTGAGTCTACATCGCATGCACTTTGTTGAGATATAAGGTAGCCACTATTAAGTGATCAATCAATTGTGCATACATTTCACTCGTACAGGATGTCGATCGCTCACTGGAGAGCTTACTAGTGATAGCTTTTACTGGGTGTATGGCGCGTGATGAAATCTGCCACAGAGCATCGGTTGGTGCAAGAATACAGCTTCATCTTACTGACAAGTGTCAAAATGCACGAAACCTAGGTCAAGTAGAGTTTTCTGTCGATTACCTCCAACTACTACGAGATTAGGTTTGTTCATCAAAAACCATCTACATACGTCTTCCATGAACATGCTACTGTTGAGCATGCCAACTGTAAAAGCAAGTAAAGTGAAAAATTAAGCATTGAAATGAAGCCCTCGGTCAAAACTATGTTCTTATATGCATCATTCACACAATAAATGATCAGAAATATGCTAGATATTGCACATATTATTGAGGATTGACAATAGACGTGCTATATCAGAAGGGGTGTTTTGTGGAGATTTTAGTAATTTAATAGTTGAATTCATGTTTCAATTGAAGCTAGTCCACCATGGAAAACCTGAAGGCATTGAACGGCCGTCTCGTCTTAGTGTTAGAATCCTCAGCAGTGCTCATCCACAATCCTGCTCGTGGGATTCGAACCCAGGACCTATTGGTCTTGACACATCAATTCAACTGTAAAATTACTAAAATCTCCACAAAACTTCTTTCTGATAATAATCATCGTATGTTCACTGGTGACTGGCTTCAAGAGGTACTTTCTGGATTTCTAGTGAGAAGTAGTGACCAGTCAATTTCAAGCGGGTCTGTTATAAGATAGTAACTCACTGAAGACAATCGCAGACGGTGGCCCCATTTTTGTGGATTGGTTGAAGTTAGACATCATACACCGTTGGATGCCGGCTCAGTGGTCCAGAGGCTAAGCGTTCCTGCGCTAGACTGATAGATCCTGGGCTAAAATCCCGCGAGCGGGACCGTAGATGGGCACTGTTGAAGAGTCGCGTGATAGGACGAAACGACCGTCCAGTGCTTCCAGGCTCTGAATGATGGTCTATCATAGATTGTCCAACTGTGAAAACAATCATATGTGTAGACAATCAAACAAGCTAAATATGTATCCACAATAAATGTACATAAATGAATGGTTAAGTTAAATTGTAAATAGATACTTTACAATAAAACTAATCACGTTACAATTACATACCCGAAGGTTAGATAAGTTCATACGTTGGCTTGTATCAATACACCATAGGATTGTTAATCTAATCAAGTGTTTATTTATGTTTCAAGTATATCAAATATAGTTACATTACAATGCATTAAGTGATCTAGATGGGAAAGTATATGTTTTTAAAACAATTAACTTCCTTTCTACCTTATTTTCTGAATGTGGTTGTAAACGTTACATTTCTATGAAAGTCCAAAATGAGGGTAATAATGATTACTTGCTGATTCCAAGTTCCCAATTATTTTCCGGCTTACATCTGTCCTTGATGTAAACTGTCATTGATTTGGTTAAAATTGTTCTGAAGAGACATCAACGACAAAATTGATCTCGATTGGCAACAGGGATAAAACTGTACTCGGTCCAGGTTTCGAGATAGTTGGAACTCGTCAACTAGGTGTGACTGTAGTAACATAAATTTATATTGCAAGATCAATCAAATTGCAGTGTAGCTACCAATTAAGTCACCCAATACTATTTATTGTTAAGTTGTTGAAGACTGGAAAAATAAACCCATGAACATAACCTTCGGATTGATTGGAGCACAATCACTCAATTTATCTACGATCTTACGGGAATTGATAATTTTAATTACGATTCGAACATATACTCAAAGAACCCTAGTGTTTCTAATAGTTATATAGTACTGTACTTGATTTTGGCAGTGCGCGACTTAGATTCTAGGAACTTAGAAGCAGTTGTTTTCTTGGTTTTAGAGACATCCCTTGTGGATGAGTTGGACCACCACTGAAAACCTGGCATCACTGAACGGCCGTTTTCTTCTAGTATGGTGCTCTAGTGCTTCCAGGTTTTCAATGATAGTCTAGTTCAGATCGGCTTGTGCATTCAACTATGAAAATACTACAGTCTTCACAAAACTATTCTTTTCTTATCGAATTAGTATATTGTTGTGGTTTTAAAAATTCGATGTTTCAATTCACTTGGTATTGTTTACTTGAATCTTCCCATTAATGCCTAGGACTGCAATTGATCAGTCTCTTATTACTAGCATATATGCATACTGTGCTTACTGCCTGAATATTGTCTAAATTCACAAGCATTCTAAGCAAAGATGAATAGTGGATAGCATTGTAACCCAGGACGCGAGTTTCGTTTTAATTTAGACTCGTCATCTCAATGTACCTGCATCTCAGAGTTGATGTTCACCCTGAAACTCGAACCCAATATTGTTTGCTTCAATCGCCATTACGTTATCCACTTAGCTACTGAATCCTGATAGCCACCTACTTGTGCGATGGTGTGAGGTTTAAATTCACTTAGTATTGTTTACTTGAATCTTCCCGTTGATGTTTAGGACTATAATTGATTATTGCCAATAAGAGACAATGTTTCAATTGTTTGTATAAAACATTTATAATTATTTTCATAGTTGGAAGCGTAAGTCAATTAAAGCTAGACCACCAAGGAAAACTTGGAAGCACTGGACGACCGTTTCGTCCTATTGTGGGACTCCTCAGCAGTGAGCATTCACAACCTCGCTTTCAACTATGTAAATTTTTAATCTCCACAAAAAACCCCTTCTGATATGACTTATTTGTTTTAAAAACTCATTCCTTTTTTTTAAAACAGGATTTAATAGATGAATTAAGCAATGAAACAAGCGGTCATTTTAGAAAACTACTGAAAATGCTTTTAACTGACTTATATGAAGTTGATGCACGTGCACTGTACAAAGCAATGAAAGGTGCAAGAACTGATGAAGAGACAATTATTGAAGTTTTATGTACAGCAACGAATACTGAAATTAAATATATTAAATCAGCTTATCTATCTGGTAAGTAAATTTAAGTAGTCTGTTTTCGTGAATTATGCGAACTAAGGTAATAGAAATGAAATGTATAAACGTTTTATTGGAGCATTCTAAATAATATCTCTCATCAAAATCTATGTAGGCCTGAAAATTATTGGGAACATTTACTTCCAAATGCGCTGGTACTTCCGAGAGTGGGGAGAGTCCGCTCTCCCTCTCGAAATACTCTCACATGGTCACGCGTAAATAGCCTCTGTCAGGAAAGTTCTACTCATTGCATTCTATTCACGGGGGTGTTGTTTACGAAATTAAGAGGACAAAAAGCGAATGTCCTGAGCTTTAACCGGATTGGTGTACACCTAGGGGAGTTGGGAAACCCTGATTCCAAACCTATGGTGCACATAGGCTGGCTGCAGTATCCTGACGGGACAAGTGGCGTACCAGTCAATCGTTGGTCACCGGGTACCATGGGACTGCAACTCCTCACGATGCTCCACTGTCTTGTGCATCAGACCTTTAGGTCAAAGGCTCCGGGTGTGGTCCCTTTAGGAAACCAATTGCTTCGGTCTGGGCACACGGGCAGTACCCTAGCTCTCACACAATTAAATGAAATGACAATTTTTTGTGTAGCGCATATGTATCTGGTGCCACTTTGTACCGATATTTATGTGTTCAAATAAATAAATAAAATAATCCAGTGAACGTTGAGTAGAATCTCTTAGTTGGATGGTTTGGTTATGGATCTTCGATCGTTCTCCTAAATGACATCATCAGTACAAACTTCAGGTCGAACTTCCACCATTCAGCTGAGAGAACAGAACTTTACCATTTCAAAATCTTTTCAATGATTTCCTAATACCATGTAATGCAAGAAAGTTGGAAGTTACATGCTAAATCACCAAAATTAAGTGTTTGAAACAACAGCGACTTGTCTTTGAATGATGATTGAATACATTGTACCAATCAGTAATTGCTAAATGATAAACTCACGTGATTGACCAAGAAATAACTTTCATATCTAACAGATGAGACGTGGATAGTTAATGGCTTAATTCTCTGAGGGATATATATTTATATACTTCCTTCCCACTCTAAGTCTTTTCACCTAAGTAGTCGGTTGGGATCGTGTATTTGTAGATTATTTATCAGTATCAAACTCAGATACTACAAATCACTCTTTTCATGTTCTAACTGTTAACTATTGAAGTTCGAATATAGTTTAGTTAGATCAAAGTGAACAAAAACTCAACATAATATGGTGATCACGTCAGTGATTTAGACTTTCTTGACATTTATATATAGTTGGAGTATGATCATTGTTATTAACATGTGACTAGGAATTCTTCTGTTTTTTTGATAGATATTCAAGACTAGACTGATGAACCTGTTGATTTAAAAGACTCCTTGAACTCAAATTGTTATCTACATTCAATAGTCTTATGCATAGATCTCCAGTATTTAAAGCGATGACAATTAAATCTGATTATCAATGAACAACATCAACTCTTAGTTAGGCATAAATTAAACTGTTGAATTCTACAGAAGAATGAGATAAACCGTATGTCTTGAATGGGACAACAATCATTTAATCGGTCTTTTTGTATTTTGATTGTTTTTCAGTTTTAAAGAGTTATGGAGTCAGTGGTAAGTCAAACTGTTTCATTAACATAAAATATTGAATGTTTTCATTGGTAACAAATGAATTGATCTATTGTAATGTGGTATGGCAACTTGGACCGTTGCATATGTGTGCCTAGTCCTACATTGTAGCTGATTGACTGACTGATCTATCGTAATGAATAAATAAGTACAGTGATCAATAATATTCTTACCGACTTGATCTCACTTAAAACACAGTTGATAACTATGTAATACTGCTTAGTTGATTTCATTTAATATGTGTCTTCAAAGTTGAATTTACGAGTCTATTTAAGCTAGATCAACACTGGAAACCTGAAAGCATTGGACAGATATTTCGTCATAGTATTGGACCCCTCAGCGGTACACATCCACAATACTGCTCTAGTGCTTCACTTGTAGACTACTGAACTGGAATCCAACATTGTTAATGTCCAACTTCAATCGATCCATGGTCTTTAGTGACGCTTCATCCATTTTCTGAGATGAATAACTCTCTCACACGCAATACGGATTGGGCTGTACTGACCACATTTTCTAACTAGAACTCCAGTATATCCATCTTGATGCTAGTCACTAGTGAGCACGTGATTATTATGAGAATGAGTATTTGTGAAAATTGTAGTATGTTTAACAGTTAAATTCATGAGTCGATCTAAGTTGGAGCACCATTGAAAATCAGGAAGGACTGGATTTTGCTTTCATCCTAGTATGGGACTCCTCAGTAGTGCACTTTAATATATGACTATCTAAAATACATCACTAAGGCTTAAACTCACTACCCTAAGTTATGAGCAAGAACCACTTCGTGATTACAATGTTAGGTATATATAGTTGCTATAAGGCCAATGAAAATAAGGGTTGCTCATAACCGTGAATAGATTGAAATTATATATGAATATCGTTGGATACCGATCCATTGGTCTAGAGGATTAGCGTTCACACAAGACCGGTGGTCCTGTTTTCGATTACCACGTATAGGATTGTGGACTTCTTGAGAGATCTCATGCTGAGAAGAAACGAGAGTCCAGTTCTTTCAAGCCCTCATTAAGGTTCTACTTAAGATCAGTTCGTGACTTAATCTGTGAAAATAATACTAAACTTGATGAATAACAGTCATCCCACTTGTTCTATTTTAAGTTATTGAATAACTTAATCTGTTGAGAAGATAAATAAACAATAACGTTTGTTTTCACATAAATCTATAGTTTATTGTTGTTATGACAGTATTCTGATGACTTTTTCAAAAACAAAACAACTGAAATTATACTTTTAAAATAGACCCTCGTAGAACATTAGAAAGTGATGTACAACGTGATTTGAGCGGCCACTTGCAATAGCTAATCGTTGCATTGCTTCAAGCTAAACGTGATGAAATTCTACTTAATGATGTCAACAACAAAAAATTAATTAAACACATCTGCAAAGTGTAGTTTTATATAAAACAAGCTGAACAAGATGTTGAAACATTATGAGATGCTGGTGAAGCGTAAGTATCTTGTTTGTTCTTTTCAATTATCAAAAAAACACTTTCAGTATAAAGCTGTAGAGATCGTCGAGGTTTTGATATAGATCATGAGTCAATCAATATAAGACCACCATCGAGAACCTTGAAGTACTGGTTGGCCGTTTCGTCCTAGTATGGGACTCCTCAGCAGTCCGCATTCTAGTCCAGTGCTTCCAGGTTTTTGATAGTGGTCAAACATTGATCGATTTATGATTTCGATCAAGAAAGTTTGTTTTTATTTGTGAAAGTCGATTCCTAAACGAATATTCTAAATACATGAACTTGAAAAGAAATGACTGAAGTGAAAATTACCATTTTAGTTAATTGATTGGTTTTATTCCTTCTGTTACACAGTCAGAATAATCTTATTGGTTAACCATTTCTTACTGAGGCAATCAGCACAAACTAATTGGTCCTATCTGGAACTCTTCAGTTGAATGTGACTGCACCTCAGTGTGGATGTCCAATCCGGGACTAGAACCCAATACTGTTCGCTGTAAACGTCATTACGTTATCCACTTAGCTACTAAATCCTAATAGCCACTAGATTCTGCAGTAATGTGAAGTTTCATTCATTGTTATATTGGTTGTTCGAATCTTCCTGTTGATGTTTAGAACTGTAATTGACTATATTGGAATGATTTGGGGGAGGGAAATATAGGTACTTTTAACTACTTATCCAATCTTTTAGTACACTAACTGAAGTTTGATGACATCTTAAATCTCGTATGAATGGATAAAAGAGGAGAGAGTTATTGACTTAATTTACCCATAGAACTAATTACATAAAAGAACTGAACAGAAATGTAATCGTGAGAACACTTTTTCTTCGTAGATAAATTATTGCATTCTATGTCTATGTATTTTATTGAATATCAATCTCTGCTTTCTAATGATTCCTGTAGGCATTTAGGAACTGATGAAGATGTTATCATTAGGATCATAGCCAATCGAAGTGTTTAGCATTTACAAGAAGTTTCTCGTCTGTTTGAAAAGGTTCGTCTTATTTCTGTGCAACATTATGCATTCACCCGTAACATATTTAATTACTCATATTTATAAGGTAATGAAAGTGATTTCATTATTGAACTGTGAAATTTTCATTGTTCTTCTGAATGGCATCATCAATACTTATCTGAAGGAGAAGTGAACCATTGGGATTTCTTCAAAATTGACTAGAAGACTGTCTTGTTGACTTGGAATTCAAATGGCTAGTATCTGAAACTGTGCTATTATAGTACGCATGTTAATTTTGGTTGTTTTCTCTTTTAACTTGAGCTCTGACGTTTTACGTAGTTTTTAATAGATGTGATCTATTCCGATATGTCTATCAATTGGTACTTGGTCGGAATCCCGGGCTTCTAAAAATTCCCTGGCTTTCTTTTTGTTCTCTCTGTCTAATATTTCGAAGTGTTCGCGACTGAACTCATGTCCCAGTGTAGATTATTCCATTCCTGAAAATGTATAATAAAAGATAGAGAGTACTGACAAGTTGCTTCATATTGTTTAAGGAATTTTCAGTGGCACTCATCTAATTGCTAAGCTATTGAGTCACACTCTACCAGAACTAAGTTCGATCACATACATGTTTTTTGTTGTGCAGGATCGAAGATTCTTAAGCGGATGAAACAGTGTGCTTTGGTTTTCAATCTCTTCCCAGATAATTGCAACTAGTGATATAAACAATAAACAATTTCTCAGAAAAAGAGGTTTCGTTGATATTGTAGTAATTTAATAGTTGAGTTCATGGGTCAATTAGAACTAGGCCTTCATGGAAAACCTAGAAGCATTGGATGGCCGTTTCTTCCTAGTATGGTGTCGTCAGCGAGGCGCATTCACGATCCTGCTCGTGAGATTCGAACCCAAGATCTTCGTCATCGTGCGCAAAGCTTACACGATCATAGTGTCAAGTGATGTGATTTTATGATACCTTTCACATCTCCCTTTTTGACTAATAAAGTATTAGTATGTTTGTATAAAGCATAATAGTAAAGTACAATCTTGATAGATAGTATTAGGTTACTTGCGCACTGCTAAGGAGTGCCATACCAAGAAGAAACAGCCATTCAGTGCTTCCAGGTTCTCCATGGTGGTCTAGCTCAAATTGACCCATGAACTCAACTATTAAATTACTACAATATCAACGAAACCTCTTTTTCTGAGAAATTGTTTATTGTTTATATCACTAGTTGCAATTATCTGGGAAGAGATTGAAAACCAAAGCACACTGTTTCATCCGCTTAAGAATCTTCGATCCTGCACAACAAAAAACATGTATGTGATCGAACTTAGTTCTGGTAGAGTGTGACTCAATAGCTTAGCAATTAGATGAGTGCCACTGAAAATTCCTTAAACAATATGAAGCAACTTGTCAGTACTCTCTATCTTTTATTATACATTTTCAGGAATGAAACACTCGACAACGGATCCTTTTACTGAACTATGTGATAAGATGCTATTAGGGCTTACTGTCATCATCATGATCTTAAAGATTCATTTATTAAATGAATAGCTGTACTCAAAAAAATAATTAATTTCATTGTAATCAACTAAAGATATCTACATATGATCTTTTACGACTAAGTTACTGTAGGACATCCCAGCTTGTCAGATGGAGAGAAGACAGGTTAAGTGAAAGTTACAGCTTGAAATGAAATCCTTAGTTGAAATATTGCTGCAAAGGGGAAACGGATACATATGCGCCATGCAAATCTCATTTGATTTGTGTGAGGGCTGTGATACTACCCGGGTACCCTAACCGAAACAGGTGGTTTTCTTAGGTGACCACATCTGGAACCTTTGACCTTAAGGTCTTATCCACAAGGCAGTTGAGCAACGTCAGGAGATTCAGTCCCATGGTAGCCGGTGACTAACGAATGATTCATACTCCATTTGTTCCCTCAGGATACTGGAGCCAGCCCACGTGCACCATTGGTGTGGAGTGAGGGTTTTCCAACTCTCCTAGGTGAACTTCCCGTGTCTTAGAAATTCCCTCCTAGATGTTTGACTTTCTAACAAACGCACAAGTAGCAACAAATGACATATCGGTCTACATGGTTGAATTTGTAGTTAGAAATAAATAAATTGTCTACAATTCATCAGCGGTACAGTCGTATCTGATGAGTAGGACTACCGTGGCAGAGGCTGTATACGCGTGACCATGTGAGAGTATTTCGAGAGGGAGAGCGAACTCTCACCACTCTCGGCCGTACCACAGCGTTCGGGGCATTGAAAAATGAGTTTCGCTACAAATTCATAGGCATTTATTCTGTCTTTAATAATATTCAGCTGATATGAGTAAATGTTCACCCTTTCATTTTATTCATAGAAATATGGTAAAACATTGGTCGATTCATTGGCATCTGAGACATCTGGAGATTTTGAAAGTGCTCTTTTATCAATGCGTAAGATAATCATTGTAATCTGGTGTTCAATTCGATAAATCTTTCCAATCATTTATTTGTGACAATAATTCATGATAAACAGAGCTGATGGTTGCTGGCAGTGGAATCCAGTTTGAAGCGCGTTTCATCCTATCTAGAACTCGTCAGCTGGATGTACCTTTATCTCAGCGTTGATGCTCACTCTGGGACTCGAACTCAGTACTACCTTCAAACGCTCCACTCGGCCACATCCAGCTGACGAGTCCCAAAGAGGACGAAACGCGCGTCCTGGATTCCACTGCTAGCCACTATCCATATTTGCTTAAACGATTATAGTTCATAGAAAACAGTCTAATCATCTATGACTGTCTTGTTGAATAAGTATATTTGAAAAGAAAATATCGTTTTGACTCAAAATCACAGTCATTCAACTTTAAACCATGAATTTATTTATTTATTTATTTGAACGCATAAATATTGGTACAAAGGGGCACCGAATACATATGCGCCACACAAGTCATTTGATTTGTTTGGTGGCTGTGATACTGCCTGGGTACCAAAACCGGACATTGGAGCAACGTCAGGAGATGTAGTCCCATGGTAGCTGGTGACCGACAATTGGTTCACTTGCCATTTGTTTCCTTAGGATCCTGGAGTCCATGTGTACCATTGTTTTGGAATCAAGGTTTTCTAACTCCTCTAGGTGAATCCTCCGTATCTAGCAAATCGGTTAAAGCACTGGATATTCGCTTTTCATTCTCTCAATTTCTTAAACAACACCTCCACCAGTAGAAGGCAATGAGTAGGACTATCATGTCAGTGGCTGTATACACGTGTTCATGTGAGAGCATTTGAAGAGGGCGAGCTAACTCTCACCACCGTCGGCCGTATCAGGGCATTTGATAGCAACTATGAATTCAGGGATTTGAAATCCATTTCAAGGATGCGACACAATTTAACACATCGACTTAATTCAAAATTTATTATCCGAAAATCTGCTTGAATTGGCTGTAATCTATAAATGTTGATCACTTTGTTTTTTATAATGTAATTTTCATTGCAAAATAATATCAGTTAACGTATCATGGAAAATTATACAGGACTAGACAACTTTTTTCTTTCTAGATTGGTTAACCGTAACAGTATACAGTATCGGTTTCACATATCAACTTTAAGTCATGGAGCAAATAGAGCATTATTGAATTATTAAGTTGTGTTCCTGCAGTTTGTCCATTCAATTAACAATAAGTGCCGTCCGTAGAACGATTCAACTGCTTTTTAATATAATTTCAATAGTTGAGATTATGAGCTAGTTGAAGCTAGACCACCATGGAATACCTGGAGGCAGTGGACGATCGTTTCGTCCTATTGTGAGACCGCTCAGCAGTACGTATCCACGATCTCACCTCGCGAGATTCGAACCAGGGACTTATCACTCTCGCACTCGAGCACCTAGACTCTAGAGCACTGAGCCGGCCAAAATTATTTACCGTTTAGTGGTGATTTAGTTTATCAAAACAGTGGTAGCAAGACGACTGAATTATTGAATTTATAGTTTTCAACCAATATACTTAACAAACAAGCTTATATTCCAACATTTGTTTGTCTGTTAACTTATTTATTTGTTAATTCACTTATGATGACCTGTTTCATTCGAAAAGGAGTGAGTAGAGGTTCCTGGTAGCGACTATAGACTTGTAGCCTTATATGAAGATATCCAGAAAGACAAGTCTCTCCACTCTCTTTGTATTCTAAAGATCATTGATGCCAGATATTAGTGATTGCTTTTCATTTCCTGACTGATAGATAAATAGTTTGATAGTTATATTATATGTCATAGATATCTTCCTACAATTTGTATTCACTGGAATTATTGATTAATAGTAGTGTATGCTACTAATATTGACAGACATAAGTAGTATGTAACACATTTCGGAAGTGGAAAACCTGACGTTATGACTCTAAGAAGATCGAGTTGAAGAAAACAGAAAAGAGAATAAAGAGGGATCATGAAGTGGAATGATCATACAGAATGTGAAAGATAATTGATGGGAGATTTGCAAATAAAGTATTTAGTGTATAGTTCTCATATTTTACCAAGATATTCTGTAATTTTATATTCAATAGTAAATTGGTTTCCTCCATCTGTATTGTCGTTCACTACACTAGTAAAGGTGAACTACATATTCTTCATGTGAGTTGTGTATTGATACGTGATAGATTAATCGTTGGTTGTGTGTCTTGTATTGAATGAGTATATCGTATATACAATAAAAGGTCTGAGGGCGAGGTCGTACTGTTGACTGTAGAGAGGTGTGACAGCAGTAAGGTGTTTCCCTCGGACAACCAGCATCTAAAGCGATGCTGCCTTCTCACAAGGAAGGAAGGGGTTAGAAAAGGTCGACCCTAAAAATGTCACGCCTCACCTTACATCACGGATTTCCGTATCCGGCGGTAAGGCCCTTTGAAAAACTGAGCAAACGCGTCAAAAATCCCCTCCAAAAGGCCGTGTATGACTGGCCTCAAGCAGTTGTCCCTTGGACTCTGCAGTCACGCTCCCATGACCAATAATAATACAACCTCCTTTTCAAGTCCCACAAGAAATACCATTCCACGGTGTGGCAACTGGGAAGTGATATTAGCCCTCATACTAGTAAGAACACACCAGACCAAGCTCATCACATTCAAATCCTTCTTGCAAATATACAATAAAAATTGTCCATTATTCGTTTCAAGCTAACTAGCTTCCAACTAGTATTCCAAAGGAATCGAATGATATTTCAGAGAATGAATTACAGTCATTCTTTTATTACTGCCCATGTCACTGGAGTGACATATTCAATATTTCTCTTGAATATAGTAAATACTTGTTTAAATCGTCCGAAAGCTTATTCTGATTTATTGGTGAAAGCAATGAAAGGTATCGGTACCGATGATTGTACACTAATGCGTATTATTGTAACAAGATGTGAGGTAAGTATTAGAGTTTAATGCAGTAAATATAACTTTATATCTGTTGTGATGGACGGTGTTCGAATCTGATACTGATAGACTATATGCTTTGCGCTAACTCCTCAACTGACCATTTGATCGGGAAGGTATATTGGGCTACAGACTGTTATAGATATAGAATTCAATTGAGAAGATGAATCGAGAAAGCTAGCAAATTTCTAGGAAACTTCCAGGAACCAAATACGATACAAAACACTGAGGTGTTTATAGTTGTTAATAGAAACGAAATCATCATTACAATCATTCAATCCACGTATAGTGGATTTCAGCATTTTTCCAACCGGGAAACTACACGTTGAGACTCTGTAATATTCTTATTTGAGTTCTCCGGGAGCCGTCCTCACAAAACAATGGCTAATAAACACCTTTAACGAACAATTAGAATGAAAGAAACAGTACCTCCTAAGACAAATACTCTTAGATAAAAATGAATTAAATTTCATCATTACTGACTGACTGACTGACTGACTACAGTCATCAATACGTGGTTAACACAATCGATCATAAAACAAGTCAGGCTTATATTATCAAATATAAAGTTTAATTTATGATCTCAATAAAATGAATGAAATGGTTAACAGTAAACCAAGTTAGTTAATGATTGATCAAAGAGTATTCTATAACCATTTTATATAGATCTACATATAGATATAGAATTCAACTGAAAAGATAAATTGAGAAAGCTTCGAAATTTCAAGGAAACTTCTAGCAACCTGATATGTAGGTCAACCTACAGACAATAGACGTTAATGTGAAATATATTTTGAGTAATTGACTTATTTGTAAACTAATTACTGCCTCTGCGATATTAGATTATCTATGTAGAATGAATAACTTGTAATAGGATATGAATATGATAAAACTATGACCAGTTTAATGGAATGTAATTTACTATTAATGAAATGGTATGTAATGGCATAAGTATGTACATCAAACTAACTGATTCATACAGATGACTAAACACTTTTTCTTTTAAAATTGACCTTGAATTTATTTGACTTGACATTGATTGATTAAACGTACTTGTTATTATTTAGCGAATAGAATTACAGTCTCAGGGTCAAATAATTACACGTGACCAAGTAGCCTTGAGTGGTAACTTAACACTGATTGGTCAAACTGATATGCTTGATGCTATTTACGACTTCACCTTACTCGGAATGTAGGTCAAAGACAGAGTGACACGATAGGCTATTCTAATCCGTTATCCCCGGTCGTGCTAACTAGATCAAGAAGTCTACATAAGCTGTAGACAGTGTATTCTACAAGCACCCAGTAAAATACAATGGGTCACTAAGTACACAAACCAAGCTCATTTATACCATGACAGAAACACCCTTAGGAAAGCCACAAAATGGCATAACAAAAGAATCCATCAACCAATGACAGTCAAGTATTTCAGAGTGAGTGGGAAATGTAAGCTTTAAGTCAAGTAAGCGTTTCTTGAGGCGAAAACATATAATTCAAATTTTCCAAATAAATACGGAGCTTTGCCAAGTGACTTCTTTTCCTAGTATACTCATTTTCTTTATTTTTTATCATTTCGTCTTATTTTTAGTTAGATTTAGGAAGTATTTGTATAGAATTTCAAAAAAGTCAAGATAGTTCACTTGAAGATTGGATACGTAATGAAGCATCTGGTGATTATCAATGACCTATTAGCCTTGCTTGGTGTTGAATGGTAATAAAGAAGAATCAGATAGAGGAATATTTTGTTTGAATTGTTTGAAGTTGTTTATATTTATTCCTTAACGATTATCGTCTACATGAGTGTTTTTGATTAAGAATAGTTTGAAATATAAACGTTTATTGATAAATGCTTTATTGACAAAAGAAGGGATTCATGTATATATGGAAGGTTAAAAGAGAAGTCTTTTCATGGTATCTCATTGGGTTCAAATTCAGATGTTACACAAGAATCTACTGAATAATAATAAGTAGTCTAAAAGATATAATTAGACAAAATGTATTGCATTGAATCTGAGATTAGAGAGAGACTGATGAATTCAATCTTAGGTGCGCACTTCTGAAGAGTCCCATACTAGGACGAAACAGATGTCCAGTGCTTCTAGGTTTTCAATGATGGTCTAACATTGATCGATTCATGATCACAATTAAAATTCAATCTTGTCACAAACTAGGTTTCGTTAAAGCTTCCTTCTAAAATTTACTCTTCAAAGTAAACATCATTACTAACTGAAGTCACTCAATGAATGATTTTAAAACTAGGATGTATTAAATTGATGTTTTGTTTAAAGTTTGGATCATTTTCGCAAATTGAGGATTTAACTATACAATGAGGATCAAAATCTTCAGATTTTTATTATGAATTATTGATAACAATATTTTCCAACTTCAGTAAATTTATGTAACACTTACATACTTAATTGCACCTGTTACCCCTCGTCAAAGAGTATAGGCCGCTCACCAGTATTCTCATTCCAACCCTGTCCTGGTCAATCCTCTCTAGTTGTTATTCATCCTTTTCATATTTGCTTCTATTTCCCGGTGTAATGTGTTCTTTGGTCTCCCTCTTTCCCGCTACTTTTCCAGATTCCAAATTAGGGATCGCCTTGTAATGCACATCAGTGATTACCTCAATGTATGTCCTATCCACTTCCAATGTCTTTTCCTAATTTACCTCTTCGGTTGGAATCTGATTTGACCTCTCCCATAAAACACTGTTGCCGATAGTATCCGTCCAATGAATGTTGAATATTTTGAGTTTTATCAAAACTGCTTTCTAAAATTTACCCGTTAAAGTAAACTTCATTACTAACTGAAGTCATTCAATGAATGATAAATGTTTCATTTTAAGTTTGAATCATCTTAGCAATTTGATCATTTAACTATAAAACGTAAATTCATGTAACAGCAGCTTGCTTGAACTTTTTTGAGCTCACTATTAGATCATTGTATCAAACGATATTTAATTAAATTCAGTATTCAAGGTATTTTGACTTGTGATTTGAAGAAACTCATCTTCATACTAATCGCTAATGAGTACTTGGATACTAACTAATTTGAATAGTTTTATGTGTATTAATTTATTGTGTCAAGGTTCCTTTTCATCATGAACCGATTGCTTCGTTATAGTATGAGACTTCTCAGCAGTGAATATCCATGTTCGGGACTCGAACCCAAGACTTATAGCGGCGCACAGGTCTCTACGATCCTTTTTGTTTATAACACCTGATTTTTCTGGTTTGTTATGTTTTTATTATAGGTGTTATTGGCTAAGATGTTGTCAAACTCCAAATACGTATGGCACCTTTGTCCTCCTAGTTCTACTCCTAAAATACTTAACTAGATTCTTCTTGTGGCATATGGATACTCCATTCAGTCCAGAACACAAATATCAGCCCTCACTGGATCAATCACATATTTCAGACATACTTGGTTTATATACAAGCTGCATCACACCATAAAATGAATATAAAAGTGACTTTGAGTACAGTAGACTGTAACTAATATGTAAAGAATAGTAAATCGTATGACAATAGTCACTAGGTCAAATGAAATCTTGTGACAAAAGGAATATGAATGTATAAAATTTAGATACCTAATAATTATTCAGTAAGAAACTATGTTGAATGAATCAAATCATGATCAAAAATCTGATGCAGTTTTGTTAGGTACTGATTTATCTTGTGATCCATTATTCTACAATGACATTATGAATAGGGTGGAGGAAAATATTACGGAAGTATCAAATATTGATGACTTCATATCAAATGTTGCTTGTCCTCATCATGCATTTGTTGCTGGTGGAAAACCTGGTCAATATGAAGCACAAATTCTAAGTGAATTCAAACCTTATTACAGTTCGGATGATTTCACATCAACTGTTGTTCACCCCCACCATGAAGTAACTTCTAGTATTAGTTATAACCACACAATTCTCAAAGCTGGACATGAGATAACTGGGAAAACAGATATTCAACATTTAACTCGAAGAGAAGGCCAACAAGGGAGAAGGCGGGAATATTTCATTATGGAATCGGATCACATGACTAAGCCTTGCAGGTGTGGTCATTCTTGTGTGACGTATCTCTTCCATTGACAATAAATATATTGTACTATCTCCGGCTTAAATGTGTTCTTTAGAATTGTCAAACATTATATTGCTGATTCTTACGATACAGAGAGTAAGAATAGACAATGATGTGACTTCCACTTAAGATCTTATAGATTAGGTTTTCATATCATGACAAATCTACGATTTTAGGATTGCGTCTATTATTAAAATAGGCCATAATTCTGCGAATCTATGATTCAAATTCTAGATGTCAATGATTTAAATATACACAACAGACATGCTGATCAGATACGATTCCAAGAACCAAGTGAGCCTGTTTCGATTTCGGTTATTATTTTAATACTAATGGGTACATTCTAGATCATACCGAGTCTACATCCAATACACAGTCGGAAAGACAAGCTATGAACCTAAGAATAAGAGGTACAATCAATTAAAGAAATTTGGATTCCGATTTAAGCTGTGATAGTTGTGGCATTTTTATGAACTAATGATTCCTTTGTACTAGATTGCTTGCTGTTTACAATTTTCAAATATAATACATTCATCTATGCTCATCTAATTCTACCGGCCTTAAATAGAATTATTTCTAGATTGTAGTTATCAGTATTAGAATTATTAATCGGAATTGGAAGGGACTCACCTGGATCCTGTAATTGTATCTGATCAACATATCAGTTATGTGTACTTAAATCATTGATATCTAGATCTCAAACCAAAGATTTTCCAGCATTCTTCACCACGACCCCAGTGTTTGGTCGAAGATCATTCACATATTCGGATGAGGAATTCTTCTTTTAAATAACTTCTATGGAGTCTCTTTAGCTTCAGGATGTTTAGTATTTCCATATTACAGTAGAAATATGTACACTCCTCTCTCCAGTTCATCAAATGTTGAAATATCAGTGGAATTAGTGGCAGTTTCCGATGTGTGACGAAACTTGTTTAACCATTAGAACGAGGATGCATAGGAGCAGTGAACAGGTGCCTGTACTCTTTACTATCCAATCAGGTAGTGACTGCGTCTGAGCCAAGATAAGAGTCATTGTCAATCATTAATAAAATAAGGACCCTCTTCCAATCGGTGAAGTTGTGAAATGAACCACAATAGTCTCCACAAACTTTCTGCAAGTCCTCAAACGATACTGGCCACGGAGTACACTTTGAATGGTGATTTTTGGACCTGTGACATCTTCCATAACTGTTTGCCGCACGACATATATCTACATTTATCTCCAACGACCAACATGTGAGATTCGCCAAGGATTTTGCTTTCTTAACACCTAAATTCCGATTATGAGAATCTTTAATGACAGAGTTACGTAATGAGGGAGGAGTAACAACACGATCATTTGAACACAATACACTCTCAAGAGAAGACAAGAAATCGACGTTTCAGATTGGCACTCCAACCTTTTACGTAAGGAACTGGGTGTATATCCGCCCCCAAATGCCCTGGTACGGCCGAGAGTGGGGAGAATCCGCTCTTCTTCTCCAAATGCTCTCACATGGCCACGCGTATATAGTCCCTGCCAGGGAAGTCTCACTCACTGCCTTCTCGCACCACGGGTGTTGTTGATGAAATTGAGAGGACAAAAAGCGAATGCTTGGCGCTTTGACCAAGTTGGTGGACACGGAAAGTTCACTTAGGGGAGTTGGAAAACCCTGATTCCAAACCAATGATGCACATGGGCTCTAGTATCCTGAAAGAACAAATGGCGTATGAACCAATTGTTGGTCACCGCCTACCATGAAACTGCATCTCATCACGATGCTCCACTGTCTTGTGGATCAGACCTTTTGGTCAAAGGCTCGGGGTGTGACCCCCTAAGAATACCACCTGCTTAGGTTTGGGCACCTGGGCAGTATCACAGCCCACACACAAATAAATGAAATGACGCATTCTACTGACAATACTACTCTCGCTCATACTAGAAGCAATACAATTTACTTCATCATTATTATTACTATTATTATTATTATTATTATTATTATTATTATTATTATTATTATTATTATTATTATTATTTACTACATCACTTTTTCACTCCCTTTTATTCCCGATTTGTGTGTCCTTACTTTTCAACTTACGCAGCAGCTCGCCCATGGTGGAAACTCTGTTCTATCTAAACGATCTCCAGTCACTGTCAGGTCGAAAGTGAATGCTTTCATCGATTATGAATACTGAACCAGTCTTTCTGAAACCGCGTACGCTTTTCAAACTGGCTTCTTTCAACGTTGTGGTCAGTGTGTGACATGGTGCCGTGGCATGAAAGAAAGCTGCAAAGGGCTAGCTTCTGTTGGTTCTTCACGACTCCCTGGCTGGGGTTCGAGAGATGGTGCAACACAATAGCTAGAGACGTTATCTGATATGGCTCAAAATAGAAGCCAGTGGCGATCCTGCTGCAACCTTCTTTTACTTTCTTCATAAAGAGTGGTTCTAACTTTCTAAACTGAAAGAGTCTTCCGGTTGTACATTTTAGTCCGCCTTATCTTTTCATCCCTACTCTTCCTACTTTCATTATCTTGTGTGGCGCATATGTATCTGGTGCCCTGTTATACCAATATGTATGTGTTTAAATAAATAAATAAATAACATCCAAAGTATTAACAAA